AACACTTCCTGAGTGGTGCCTGGGGGAGGGGCTACACTGGGCTGCAAAGGTCAACAAGGCCTCCAGAGGACCCAGTCCAAAGGGTTGGAGAGACAAATAAGAAACTTCGAGTCAGTGTGGTGAGAGCCACAAACAGGGCTAGTCCTGGAGGTCACACTCCCAGTGTAGGATTGGGCAGGACTCCCTAGAGCAAGTCACAGCTGAGCTGAGACCTCAAGTAGGAAGGAGCCAGGAGGGGCAGAGCAGGGGAGAAGGCAAACCGTGGTCCTACAAACACCGCCTCTCCAATTTACCCCGAATCCTAGATACCCTGGAGTGCAGCTGATCTTCTCTGGTGAGAACACGATGTTCCTTCCAACCCTGCTGCCAGCACCTAGTTTTCAGCCTCATTTAACTAACACCCCTTCCTGTACCAGAGTGGCTTTTACCCACTCATCTACTAGAAACTTCTAAAGAGAAGAGGCTGGTCTTAGTCATCTTTGTATCTCAAGTATCTAAAGTAGCCCTCAGCATATGATAGATGCATAAAAATATTTTGTGATGTGAAATGCTCTCAGGCCCAGGAACACTTACCACAGCTAACAAATTTTCACAGGGCCACTGGCAGGGTTAAGGCAGAGAGGTAAAAAGGGAAAGGAAAAGTCGACATAGGGAAAAAACAAGGCTGATAGGGCTGGGATGCGGGGCGAGGAGGAAGCAAAGGCAGATAAAAGGTACACAGTGGAGAGGGTACAATTCCAACCAAACCGCACTGGGACTCTGTGCTCCAAGCAGCCTTGGCCGTGGCTTCTGCCCCATCACAGGGGAACCTCTAGTCCTCCTCCACTTTCGGGCTTTCTTATCGGGATCTGATTACTAGACATACTCAGCTGCATTTTTTTGAGAAGCAGGGAGAAGCTGAGAGAAAGAGGGAGGAAAAAGCCCTACAGACCTAACACTTTTCCCACTAGACAGGTGGGACACAATTCAAATTTCCTTCCCTGAGACTCTGGGGGGGTGGGGGTGGGGCCGGTGGCCGTGTTCGACTTCTGAATCGTCTATACAGTGCTCAAGCTAAGTTCTCAAGCAGAGCAAAGCTAATTTTGTGGTGCAGCTGGATAAATAAAGTAAAGGAGAAAAAAGCTGGCATCACACATTTTTGAATTAGCACCAAGTCTCTCCAACTCCACCTCTTTCAGGAAACACTCCTTATGCAGGGGGAGGTGGTGATTTCACTCGCTGTTCAGAGCTGCATTTCTCCCTTCATTTGCCAGCCTGGCTTCGCCCTCCCATCATCTCTGGGTCCTTAGCTGAATTCTTTGTCTATGCCAATCGGATCAAAAGAGACAACATGGGAGAACTCAAAAATTGATGGAAGTCGTGGATAGTAAGGATGGTCTCTGAAGTTCACTGGTCTGAGGTGGAAAATTCCTAGACAAAAGGAACAGAATCTTTTGGAGTTTATTCTATAGGAAACAGCATAGTATGTACAGCATAGTATATAGTAAACACAATAGTATTATACATTGGTGGTTCTTGAATTAAACTTCCAGCTGGTTCTCATAATATATGCAAGGGAGGGAACAAAGCTTCTGGCCTAAAATTCAGAGCAATATGTATTCTGTAAGGAGTTGGTCAAACTAGACAGTTTCACATAGTTACACATGAGGTGGGTTTCGGAAGCTTTTGTCAGTTTACATCTTTCCCAAAGGGGAGTTAGGAATAAAATGATCAGTTCCCTCCTATCTTCTTGTACGTATTCCATTATCAATTTCATAAGCCCAGAAAAAGTATATTCATGAAAGATCAATAAAATAATTTTAGATTAAAAATATTAATGGAGGATGAAAGAACTAGACTGGTTATATAGATTCCAAAGATTAAAATTATACGAAGTTATTCCTGAGGTTATGACAGGTCATTAGATTAAATGTATTAGGTAGTTACTATGCCTCAGGCATGTAACTGCAGTAACTCATGTCTTGTCATGTCCTCTCTGGGAAAACAATGTATTGTGAAGATGACAGGTAGGGCTGAAAGATGTTGCCATGAGCTTTCCTTATAATCTAGGGGCCATAAGTACCTTGTTCAAGGACCTTCTCATGGGTTTTTCTCTGGGCCTTGAATACCTTCTGACTATGTCTTATTATTGGGCATGAAACTTCTTTACCTGGAATAATAGCTTTGGTGAAAATATTTCTCAGCATCCCTTTGTTGGTTGTCTTTGGTGAATTTTAGGGCCGCAATAGGTAGTGGGGTAAGCAAATGCTGCCAAATTCAATTTTAAAGATTTTTATTTTATTTTTTAATTTATTGATTTTAGAAAGAGAGAGGAAGGGGCAGGGGAGACACTGATTTGGCTGTTCCACTTATTTATGCAATCATTTGTTGATTCTTATATGTGCCCTGACCTGAGATCAAGCCCGCAACCCTGGCGTATCAGGGCGATGCTCTAACCAAATGAGCTAGCAGGCCAGGGCCTGCATTTTATTTTCAAAGATAACTTTTCCTCTATCTAAGATTCAATCCCCACATACACAATAATTATAGTGTCCTTTAACAAGAGCTCAAAGCAAATTTGATTTGAGGTAGTCCTCAGTAGCTAAGGCTAAGATTAGGAATCCATCCATCTGGAGGGAAAATGACCAAATAAGATAATAAAAAAGCACAATCTTGTTGGCTGACCAACATAACCACCATGGAGTTTGCAAAAACAGAACCATCTGTTGTGTGAGGAACAATGGAGAGAGCTTCTGTATTTATAGAATCCTGAGTGGGACAACCACGCACATGAATAAACTTTTTTTCCCCCCGTTCACTAATCTGAACTCTACTTTTCATTTCTTTGCTGTCAACATGCACTGTTAAGAAAAAAAAAAAAAGTCAATTTAAAAGCAGATGGACTTGCTATGACTAATTTAAGAACTCCCCAAGCAGGATCTTTTCCAAAAATACATTGCAATTGACAATACTGTCAGCTCTGTCTAAAGGGGTTGCGAAACAGCTACGGACCCTGAGGCTGAATCAGATGTTCACTACTCGTTTGGGTAGAGCCCAAGAAGAAGAGCTCCACAACCATGAACTGTTCTTGGTATGGGGCTGTAGAACAAAGCCTTCTATAAACAAATGTTTCCAATGGGTGCATCTTAATCAGTCTACTTGAATAATTCTTATTTTCCCTCTTGGTTTCTAAAATGGAAGCTGTTGCAAGGAAAAATTCGTATTAGATGCCACAGATGCTAGGGCATTTCATATATTTCATGTTCCTTTAAAAACACATAGTTCTTTCTTTTTAAATTGATTCTAGAGAGAGAGGAAGGGAGAGAGAAACATCAAGCAACCCAGGCACGTGCCCTAACTGGAATTGAACCATCCCACTGGCGACTTTTTTGGTGCATAGGAGAATGCTCCAACCAACTGAGCCACCTAGCCAGGGCTAAAAACACATATTTCTTACATCCCTTGGTAAAATTATTTCAGAAAAGCTAACGTCACCCTCACTGGTGTGGCTCAGTTGGTTAGGCGTCATCCTGCAAAGCCAAAGGTTGCTGGTTCGATTTCCTGGAGCGCATGTGAGAGGCAACTGATAGATGCTTCTCTCCTCTTTCTTCCTCACTTCCTCTCTTAAAAATAAATAAAATCTTTAAAAGAAAAACTAATGTCTTTTGGTAGCATTGCTTTTACAGGAAAGCTGTGTATTATACTCTTTATTATGGTGGAAAAGATTGGAAATCAAAGGAAGTGATGATTCTCTTCCAAAAGTCTGTAAGTAATGATGGGATCACGTTTCACTCAGTGAATTCAATTAATTTTACCTTGAATTCAATTTTGGGGGTGGGAGAGGAATGACGTCACCATTTACTAGGTGTCTATGTACCAGGTAATGCCCTAAGCTTCTTATGGCCATTATCTCATTTAATCTTCCCAAGAACGCTCATTTATTATCTTCTTTCCACCTGAGGGACTGAGGTTCAGAAAGGTTAAGCAACTCGCTGCAGGTCAGACAGCTAGTAAATGCGTAGGCACAAGAAGTAACTCAAGACACTAGCCTGTCTTTGGTTTCCTGTTAAATAGAACACACAATGTGTTTCTTGGAGGCTTTGCTCAGCAGTTCAGCGAATTGATGACCGTGCATCCATCCCTTCTGTTGCTAAATTATTCAATGAGCCTCTTGAACGAAGTGTGACCTGGTTCCTTAAGAATTATATTTAATGACAACCTATGGGCTAGAAACTCTGCACTTTATCTCCTGTCATCATTACAACAACTCTAAGAAATTGAGTTCTCTCCATTTTATAGATGAACTGTTTGGGGAGATTAAGGAAGTCGCTAAGAGTTAGGGAGGGATAGATAGAGCCGCGACTGGATTCCAGGTCCGACTCCAACGCCAGAACGAGCTCCCCCCACAACACGAGTGTTTCCACTTGTCAGTCCCTAGGGTAGAAAGCCACAGTGCTGATTTAATATTTATCAAGTGTTTGCAGGGTCCCGGGATCTGGCACTTCGATGAGAAAGCTGCGGGGGGCCTCCACTTATCCGTCCACGCTGCAGGGAAGAAGGCTGTGCGGGCAGCACAGAAAAGGGAGAAGCCCTCACACTTAGCTCAGAAGCCAGAGACCTGGTCCTTTGGGAGGACCCTGGACACGCGCCGACTCTTCCCCAGGAATGGGGAGATCAACGAGGGCAGGCCGCCCCAGATCCCGGCATCGGTGGCAGCGCAGGTGTTGAAGGTTCGTGTCGCGCGCCCTACATACAGTAACAGATTAGTAGCAGGGAAAATAGCGGCAAGCGAGGGCCAGTGCGCGCCCTTGCCGCGCCCACGCCCGTAACCCCTGCCCCGCGTTCCGGAGTTGGGGGTAAGCCACGACTCTCAGTTCCCCAACGGCAGCGGCTCCTCCTTTCCCGCCCCCAGAAGTGACGCGACGGCTACGGCGTCCGGGAGGGGCCCCGAGACATCAGGGGGGTTCGAGTAGGGCGGCGACCGCGGGGCGATTGGCAGACCGGCCGCGGCCAGGAACGCTTGAGCGCGCGCCCGCGAGTAGCGGCCAGACTAACGCGTGCGGGGGCGGCAGGGCGGGGCGCGAGGAGCCGCAGCGGAGGAGGCGGCGGTGGCGGCGGGAGATGCGGGTGGCTGCGGGCACCCAGCAGGCTGGGTTTGGCCGCCGCCGCCTTCTCCGGCTCCGCCGCGGTTGTCGCCGTGGCTGCCGCGCCGTCCCCCAGGTCCCGGCGTGAGGAGGTGGCGGGTGGACAGCAGCATCGTGTTCGCGGCGGAGACCCGGAGGGAGCCCCGCGCGCGGCCTCGGTGAGCGGCGCGCCCCGTCGGGGTCTTGCAGCCGCCGCTCCCCGCCCCCCAACAAAACGGGGAGCGGGAGTGGGGGGTTCGCGGCCCTACAGGAAGCAGGCGCGTGGCGGGTGCTGGGCGGGGGGACTTGCGGGTGCGCTCCCCAGGGACCCGCCCCCCGGCGCTATCCCGCCGGGTTCCGCCTCGTCCGGCGGCCGCAGCCCGCCCGCGCAGGTGGACCAGGGAGCGCCCGCCCCTCTCCTTTTTCCCCCTCATTTGGTCCAGCAGGTCCCTCGGGCGAATGGTGGCGGTATTTTTGTTTGTTTTTGCTGGGGGAGGGGAAGGAAGAGGGCTGCGATTTTGACTCTTTGTAGTGACAGGAAGTTGGAAAATGAAAGTACAGTAATTTAGTGCTTACCAAGGCCCGTGAGGCTGCGGCGCTTTCTCCGAACTTTGATCTCTGCGGCACACGGTCACCCGTGTTTCTTCCTGTCCTCAAACTCTATTCATCCGGTGTCAAGTTTCATTTCTTTTCCTACTTTTCGCTAGCAAATCTCCTCCCCCTTGACTTTCCGCTTCACGTGTAGCTGGGCCGGTAGCTTCTCCATTCTTAGGAAGATGAGTTTGAATCTTCTTTGGGGGTGGAGTATTTACTGGCCTTGGTAGAAAATAAGGGGTATTGTTGAGGGAAGTAGTCAAAAGATCGCACATTTTGGCGATTTCTCAGCCTATTGCTATTTGAAGTTTAGGGCATTTAAATAAAGACTCGAGTTTTATTCATTAGAATGGTTCGCCCATCTCTTAGGTTCGTGGGTCAGATCCTCCCCCTTGTGTGTGTTCTTCCACCCACCACCCAACTAACTGCGTGCAAATCTTGGTCCTTCAATATTTAGGACGGTCAGTGGTGTGTTTGTTAAAAAGTAATATGATTCAATCCCTACCCGCACCTTCTCCTCTTTGATTTTATTTAAACATTAAAATTGCATAAGTGGAATTCATTACATTTTTAGGGAAATATTGTCTTCCAGTTAAATTGTAAAGTAGCAGTACACTTTTAATAATCTCAGCATAGGCTCCTGTACAGTTAGACACCTGGTTACTTTTTGACAATGACAATTTTAATTCAAGACTAGTGTTGGTACATTTTATAACTTGGTTTGTTTCACTTAAGCAACATGCTGAATTTGGAGACATTTATTTTGGGGGGGTCTTAGTTACTGCTTCTGAAAAACAGTTGGCCTATGGGTAACCACAGCAACTAAACTGTGTATTACAAACATGTTTAGGGTGGAAAAGTTTTCATTTAATAGAGACTTCCTTTCCCTAACAAGTTATTTCAAGATGCTCCCTCTTTCACTTTAGCACAGGGGTTCGTCTACCATCTTTGAAATGTTAAGTTAGAATCAATTAAGTTTTCACCATTTAACCCCTGAAAAGTCAGTCCTTCATTTGGATCAGCTATTTCCCTCCCTTACTATGCTTCTACTAAAAAAAAAAAAAAAAAAAATTAAACAAACAAACCCACTCTTTTAAAACTGTAATTGTAGGAAACTTGAGACTTTCATGAGAAGGAAAATGAAGGGTTTCTTCTTTTGACTAATAGGTAGAAAAAAAAGTATATTTTTGACTATTTCACCTTTGTAAAATAACTGTCTTGAATATTATATATCTCTTTTATGGCTGAGGAAATCATTGAATTTCATATTAATAACACACTTTTAGGAACTAAAATGGAGATGCCCTGGCTGGTGTGGCTCAGAGGACTGAGTGCCAGCCTGCGAACCAAAGGGTCGCCGGTTCCATTCCCAGTCAGTGCGCATGCCTAGGTTGTGGGCTAGGTCCCTGGTAGGGGGCGTTCGAGAGGCAACCGCACACTGATGTTTCTCTCCCTCTTTTTCTCCCTGCCTTCTCCTCTCTCTAAAAATAAATAAATATTTTTTTTTAAATGGAGAGGTTCAACTTAACCTTATACCCAGATGTCCCCCAAATTTTCAGTCAAAGAATAACCTGATATCAGAATTGACTGAATAAAATATTACTTTAAAGTACCCTCTTAAGATGTCCATTGTATGTCTTCCTTAGTTTTTTGCAAAAAAAATTCTCTTCTGAGGTCTTCAGTCCAAAACCACAATGCCCTTTTTCTTTTACTCTCAACAATTTTCTATCCCAGATACTCTGTAAAGCACTAAGGAAGCGTCAACATTTTCCACAAGTTAGGTTCTGCCTTAAAATAGCAAACAGCTCAATACACGTGCTCTTCTAGTAACCAGCTGGGCACCTTGGAAACACCCATACTTTTGGGAACCTCACCTTTGCTCAGGATGAAACTTGTATGCTCACAGGGGAGTTGTTGATATTATTTCTGTCTTTTTGCATGTATAGCTTAGCTGTTATAAACCTGTAGGGCTCAAGCATTATCTACAGTGATAGGTAATAAGGCTCTAGTTTTGGTTTTGGGAACTTTTCCAAAAACAAATGGAAGTATAGGCACCAAATTTGTAGTAGTCTTTACTTTCTTCTTTCCTGTTCTCTCTTCTCATCTCCCCCTCCCCCTCCCGTCATCATCACCACCATCGATTCGTACTCCTACTCCTGTAAGCAGCTTTGATATGAAGGTGATATCTGAAATTGCGGAGACTGCATTCTTTGGTTAAGCTAAAATCTAGTAGGGAGTAGTTTTAACAGGTTTAGACTAACAAGTAATTGTTTAAATAGGAAACACGTGTAGTTAAAAAGTAACTTGCAATGAACAGGCATCAGAAGAAGAAAGGCCTCTTCGGTAAACTCAGAAAAGCGACAGGGAGCCCCGATCCCGTGCCCCCCAGCTCGGTGGATGTAATAGTGTAAACCACTGTTTTCACCTAGATTAAGTGAGGCCTTGGGAAACTATGATTTCTAGCGGGCGTGGTTATTTAGCATAAAAGTAGCACACGTTAGTTGTAGGTTGTTATCACTTGCTAGCTGATGTGTAATCCTCCTTTACAACAGGCTGGCCGCTGGCTGAGCACTTCTGTCCGTCAAGGGGAATGGTTTCCCTAACGAGCAGGGTGTGTGACCTGTTAGGAGAGAGAATTGGATTCCCGGCCTCAGCTTCTCCACGAGCTCTGTAACTGTGGGAGGCATCTCCCCCTTTCTGTTCTTTATTGTATTTTCCCATTTCTACTTTTGCACGACTGTAGCTCTGTATAACGAGCTTCAAAGTGATAACTCTGAGTATTATTGGAGGCCATTTTGAATGTCTGAGAGAAGTTACAATTCCTTGTCTCTGCCCTTCTTGGAAGCATACATAGGTGACTTCTAAGGATGCCATCCTCTCTGAGTTATACTTTCTTAGAATCGAGCTTCTGAGGCCTAACTTTTATAATATTTATACTGTTAATTTGTTTTTAACATCTTTATTGAGATGTAATTCACATACCGTAAATCCGCCTCCTTAAAATGTAAAATGAAACGGGTTTAGTGTATTCACAGAGTTGTATTACCACCACTACACTCTTAAGTTTAGCATATTTAAATCACCCCTTAGTAGTCACTCCCTGCTCTTCTTCTCACCCATTCTCTGTCCCTCAGCAACCACTGATCTACTTTCTATGCCTAAAAGATTTGCCTGTTCAGGACATTTTATATAAATGGAATCATACAAAATTTGTCCTTTTGCGTATGGTTTCTTTCACTTAGCATAGTGTTTTCAGGGTTCATCCATGTTGTAGAATGTATCAGGATTTCATTCCTTTTTCTGGCTGGATAATACTCTCCTGTACAGTTGTACTGTATCGTACATTTTGCTTGTCCGGTTTTCAGTTGATGGACATTTGGGTTTCTGCTTTTTGGATATTATGTACAATGCTGCTGTGAAGATTTCTGTACAAATGTCTGTGTAGACATATATTTTTCATTTTTGGGGGGTATGGAGCTAGAAGTAGAATTTTCAGGCCATATGTTAACTCTATATTTAGCCCTTTGAGAAACTGTAAAGTGTTTTCCAAGTGGTTATACCATTTTACATTCCCACCTGTGATGTATGAGGGTTTCACCTTCCCCACATCCTAGCTAACACTTGCTGTTGTTTGTCTTTTTAATTTCAGCCATCTGAGTGGGTGTGAAGTGGTATCTGAGATGGTTTTCATTTTCATGTCCCTAATAACTAATGATGTTGAGCACCTTTTCCTGCGCTTATTGGCAATTTGTTTATCTTTCAAGAAATGTCTTTTCAAATTTTTTGCCTATTTTCTGTTTTTCTTTTTATTTGTAAGAGTTCTTTATGATTTTTTGATACAAGTCCCTGTGATTTGAAAATATTTTTTTCCCATTCTGCAAATTGTCTTCTCACTTCATGGTATTGTTTGCAGCACAGAAGTTCTAAATTTTGATGTAGTTTATTTCACCTGTCTTTGAATTTTAATGGATTGATTTAATTGTTTTCAAGTCCTATCCTGATCCACTGAGATCTGAGTTCTAGATTTAAAAAAAAAGGAAGTTTTTGCTTTTGTGTGAGTATAGTTTTGTTACAGCCTTCTTAGGATTGCTTATATGTATTTGACTAGAATTTCTGTTCTAAAGTTCTTCCTGTTAAACAAGATGTTTTGAAGTTTTATGAGGAAAATAACTTTGTGTGAACATTTCCTTTTTGCTCCATTGCCCAAACCAGTGGTTATCACCTGGGATGATTTTTGTTCCCCGGGAGACAATTTTTTAAAAAGACTTTATTTACTTATTTTTAGAGAGAGGGGAAGAAAGAGAGGGAGAGAAACATTGATTTGAGAAACATCAACCAGTTGCCTCTTGTATGAACCCCAACTGGGACCCCAGCTGGGACTGAACCCACAACCCAGGCCTGTGCTCTGACTGGGAAAAGAACTGGTGACCTTTCACCTTGCGGGACAACACCCAAGCAACTGAGCCACAGTGGCGAGGGCATCTGTAGACATTTTTGATTGTCACAGATTGTCACAGGGGGTGCTACTGGCATCTAGTGAGTAGAGGACAATGATGTTGTTAGTGCATAGGACAGCCTCCAGGAACAAAGAATTATCTGACCCAAAATACCAGTAGTTGAGAAACTCTGGCCTAAAAAGGGACATCCTAAAACTTGGGATATTGAAGGATTTTTAATTATCAATGATGTCTTGATAATTAAATAAAGATTGCTAATCAAATAAAAGGTGGGTCAATGCAGATGGAATCCCTGTGGATAGAATGGTGACAGAACTTGTAAATTAAATCAGGGACATTTTGCCGAATTTCTAGGGCTGCTCATTTTTATGTAAATTGTATTTATGATAATGGGAACTATTTGAAGGAGAAATACCGGTGAAGCAAAAGTAGATTATTCTCTGTAACCCCAGGACCACACTGAAATACACACACAGACACATACTGGCAAATAAATCAATGGGGTTGCGCAGGACGGATGCTGAAATGAACAGGACAAAGAGTTTGTAAGATAAATTTAGTAACAGTGATACTCCAGTGATTGGCAATCATCGGGCTGCCCCTATGATTTATGGAACTAGCTTTATCTCCCAGGAAGACTTTCCTTAAGCAGTGCGGCATGCTTGAGAGTTTGGACTCTGGGTTCCATTGCCTGGGTTGAAGTCTCCGCTCCACCATTTACTTGTGTGACTTTAGACAAATTATGTAATTCTTATATGACTCAGGTTTGTTTTGTAGTATATAAAATGAGGCTGTAGCAGTATCTGTTGTGGAGATGAAAAGAAGTAATACATTGAGAGCATTTCAAATAGTGCCTGGCAGAGTGCTGTGGAAGTGTCAGCTGTTAAAATTGTTGTCTCTCTTGTCTGTGTGCCTCTTCAGCTCATTGCTATGGACAGTGCCATCACCCTGTGGCAGTTCCTCCTTCAGCTCCTACAGGAGCCTCAGAACAAGCACGTGATCTGCTGGACCTCCGACAATGGGGAGTTCAAACTTCTGCAAGCAGAAGAGGTGGCCCGGCTCTGGGGAATACGAAAGAACAAGCCTAATATGAATTACGACAAACTCAGCCGAGCCCTCAGATACTATTATGTGAAGGTAATAACACAGCCTCCTCGGAACAAGAAGTGTTCCTTCTCTTCTGTTGAGGTTATAGGTACTAATATCCTGGTTTATTTACTTTTTAATTGAGATATAACTGAAATAAAACATTATATTAGTTTCAGGTATAAAACATAAGGATTCGATATTTGTTTACATTGCAAAATGATCACTGTCCTGGTTTATTTTAATCCAATTTATAACTTAAGCAGTTTGGAATTAGGATGAAAGATGGAAATGTTCCAGTTGTATTTCTGCAAACTTATTCAGTACCCCCCCTCCCGTTACACACATTATTCCAAATTGTAGTTGTCTTTAAAGAAAAAATAAGTATAGGGTTAGAATGGGAGAAAGGAAATTAGAGGTTCTTGAGGATGAATATTCTTGTGTATATCATGATTTACTTCAAAAATTGTCATATATTATGTATTAGCTTTTCTTAATTTTTAGTTTAATCCAGAATATACAAATTAATATCTTACAGCATTCCTGTTAATACAGAGAATTGATTTCTTAGTTAAAAATTTTAAATGTATTATTTTGAATATACTTTGAGCACTGAGGTAAAATAAATGACTCAAATGGGTAGAATTGGAATGAGAAGCTGAGATCTTAATTTCTTTCAGCTTTAAGTGGTTGATTTTTATCAGCTTTGCTGCATGGAGACATGAGGTAAGCAACAAGTGGATTTTTTTATTATTAAAAAAAAATTTTTTTAATCCTCACCTGAGGATATATTCACTGACTTGAGAGAGAAAGGAAAGGGGTGGGGGAGAGAGAGAGAGATCAATTGGGCCTCTCATGCACGTCCCAACCAGGGATCGAACCTGTAACCTTTTGATGTACAGGATGATGCTCCAATCAGCTGGGCCACTAGGCCAAGGCAACAACTGAAATTTTTTTAAAATATTGTTTTATGTATTTATTTTTAGAGAGAAAGAGAGAGAAACATCAATGTGTGATTATCTCTTGCACACCCCCAACTGGGGACCTGGCCTGCAACCCAGGCATGTGCCCTGACTAGGAATCGAAGTAGCAACCTTTTGGTACTCAGTCCACTAAGCCACACCAGCCAGGGTGAATTTTTGAAGGAAAATTACTTCTTAGCAGAAGTAAAGTTTTAAATTCCTTTTTCTTTGGTTTTGTGTGTGTGTGTGTGTTTGTTTTTTGGCTTACTCAGTATGCATATGGCTGTACCTTTGGATTATTTTAGATTTCATGTCAGTGATTTTTGACTTAATACAGATACAGGTTGAGAGTGTTAAGCAATTAAAATCTTTCAGCTAATTATTAACGAGTTAATTCAGTTGTTAATAAGATATTTAAATGTTCTTAGGTTCCACAATAGTAGGAACTGTGTTAAATATAGCTAGATAATTTAGATGATTTTAGATAATTTTGAAGCTTTTAAGTAAACTCATCAAATAAAGAATATCATTAGGTCTGCTTTTGCATGATCTATTATGGGAGGTAAGATGATAAGAATGCTTATTTTATTTATTTACAGAATATCATTAAAAAAGTGAATGGTCAGAAGTTTGTGTACAAGTTTGTCTCTTACCCAGAGATTTTGAACATGGATCCAATGAAGGTGGGCAGGATTGAAGGAGACTGCGAAGCCTTAAGCTTCAGTGAAGTCAGCAGCAGTTCCAGAGATGTGGAGAATGGCGGGAAAGAGAAACCACCTCCGCCTGGTGCCAAGACCTCTAGCCGCAATGACTACATACACTCTGGCTTATATTCTTCATTTACTCTCAACTCTTTGAACTCCTCCAAGAGGAAGCTTCTCAAATCTATAAAGATTGAGAATCCAGCTGAGAAATTGGCAGAGAAAAAATCTCAGGAGTCAACGCCGTCTGTCATTAAGTTTATAACAACACCTTCCAAAAAGGCACTAGTTGAACCTGTTGCGGCCACCATTTCCACCAACTCAAGTGTTTCTCCATCTTCGGAAGAAACTATCCAAGCGTTGGAGACTTTGGCTTCCCCCAAACTGCCTTCCTTGGAAGCACCAGCCTCTGCCTCCAGCATAGCTCCCGCTTTTACCGCCACACCTGTGTCGTCTGGGTCCCCTTCCTTTCAGGAGCCTCCTAGGACGCCTTCGCCACCACCGAGTTCCAACCCAGACATTGACACAGACATCGAGTCCGTGGCTTCTCAGCCAATGGAACTGCCAGAGAACTTGTCACTGGAGCCTAAAGACCAGGACTCAGTGTTGCCAGAAAAGGACAAAACAAATAATTCATCGAGATCCAAGAAGCCCAAGGGGCTAGAGCTGGCCCCCATCCTCGTGATCACGGGCAGCGACCCGAGCCCCCTGGGGGTACTGAGCCCATCTCTCCCCACAGCTTCTCTCACGCCAGCACTTTTTTCACAGGTAGCTCTTTCTTTTAGCGTCACCGTTGTTTGCATTTACTCACTTTTTAAAACAAATCCAGATTTATAACCTTAAGTGTTCAAGTGTTCAGGTTTGTCTCAGAAAAGTTTGTGTATGACCCCATGAAAGTAACCCAATTCCTCAATCCAATTAGGATCGCCAAAATAGAAGGTTTGGAGCATTGTGTTAAAAATTCCTTGTTTTACAAGTAAATACATAATTTGACTTCTAAAGAAAATAAGGTTTCTCTCTGTCTTTTTTTTTCCTCTTATAAAACTGGTTCCTATCTTACTAAAAAAAAATAAACAATGATAATCTCAAGTTAGAAAACAATTGATCCTGAGAATCTTAAGAGAAAGAAATGATTGATACTGAGTAGCAGGTTTCTACAGTTACCTTAGATATTTCTTAACTTGCTTAAATATAACATTTAAATAGGTGGATTATGCACAGATCTCATTATTAAGGAAAAAACATATTTGAGACTGAGGACCCATTATTTTTCCGTACCTGAATTCAGACTGGTTTTTCTATTTGGGAAAGAACCTACAAAAGAGAGGTTAGAAAATATTTTGACCTTTGTCTTAAGTTGTAAAAATAACTTCTGAGTTTTTCCTCATGATACAGTTTCAGACTTGGAGAGGTTTAGAGTGGAGAGTAGGACAGTACTTGGGTTCAGGGCTATTTTTGTATTATTGCAAAGGTAAAAAACACGACCCCGATGTGTCACTTAGGGAATGTTTTTGCTTTGTGTGTTGCAGACGCCCATCTTACTGACTCCGAGCCCCTTGCTCTCCAGCATCCACTTCTGGAGCACCCTCAGCCCCGTTGCCCCCCTCAGTCCAGCCCGACTGCAAGGTGCTAACACGCTTTTCCAGGTAAAGGAGAGAACGGCCTGCCTTTTGTAGGGGGGCGTGGTGAACGCAGAAAGACGCAAAAGGGCGGTGCCGCACTCTTCAGTTTCAGCGTCATACAGCCTCTGTGTAGTAGATACCCTTTAGCTTTGTTTTTGAATTTCTAAGTGTTTAATTTCCTAGCCAGTCAACAGCTCAGATAAATATTTACAGTAGAGTTTCCTTTTCATTGTTGACCATTACAAACATTTGAGTTCGACCAAGAATTGTCCAATACTGTAGTAGATTTTGAGCCCACCCAATTTTTTTTTTTGTCATTTTAAACTGTAGAAATACTCTTTTATTAGGAAAAAGTTGTATATATGCGTATATATTCATGCAAACACATATATACATGTGTGTTTGGGGGTGGAATTTCTACCCATAGGTTTCCCCTTTTGACTGAGGATTTAAAAAAAAAAATAGAGAAAACTCTTGAGAATAGTGTATCAAATACTTTTGTTTCCCCCTCAGAATTTATATTTATCAACCTTTTAAATATATATTTAAAAAATGAACATTGTATTATCTTAACCAAGATCTTAGGAAAGTCTTACAGATTTTAACTATTGTTTTGCCCCCAAACACCTAGATTTTATAACTTGCAGGCTTTCTTATGAGTGATTCATTCACTTATTCAGGAGTGACACCTTGGAAGATTTTCTTACATTTCGGTAATTAAACTTTTTCATTTTTTTCTTTTGGAAATGAAATGCTAAAGAAATAGAAGAAAACTAAAAATCATTCCGCTTCTGCATTTTTTGTCGAAAAGTCCTGAATTATTGACTAGAAAGTGTTGAGAATTTTTCGTATTTCATCTTTCTTTGCCGTTCACCCACGGATGCCTGAGTCACAGTGCAGCCTGAGGCCTGGAGCCGAGGCGTGGCGCACAGCCCGCTTCAGCGAGAGGCCCCTGTGGAAGTGTCTTAGAACGTGTGATGGGGGACCCTTTTCTGGGACGAACACCCGTAACTATTTACACCAGTTACGAATAGAGTTAATAGGTGGGAATATCTCTCTGGACCTCTTTTTAATGGTCTTTGATTTGCTTTATAATTGAATGTACTTGGTGGTGCCTGTTGTTATTTACTGAACTTTCTAAAACCTTTCATTTGAAGTTAAATGTAGTCCTGTGTACCTTAGGGTATGGTAGAAGGTACAGATTTGTGCTTTCCATTCCGTCAAGGGAGGCTGGAGAGTATGAATATTTACCATTCTTTTCTTTAAAGCTTTTTTTATGACATTGTATTCTTTCATGATAAACAGTTACTGCCTTTGTCCTATGAGCCACTGCTGGCAGCTGTCCTCTTCTGCCTGAGGAAACATAGAAGGGACAGGAAATGAACATTGGTGTTGAGTGAAAGAATGCTAATGTATTTTATTTTTCTTTCTCAGTTTCCTTCTGTTCTGAACAGCCATGGGCCATTCACTCTGCCAGGCCTGGATGGACCTTCCACGCCTGGCCCATTTTCCCCAGATCCTCAGAAAACATAACCTATGCACTTGCAGAATGCGAGAACCAAGGACTAAAGAAACAGACACTCAGCATGATTGCATTTGGAGTGAGCAATCGATAGTTCTACAGTGCTGATGATAGACTAGAGTGATTTTTGCCATTCCCGTTGAAATGCCTTTTTAGGATTCCCTTCCAATAAGACTCAAGTTGGATTGTGTTTAAAAATGCCTTAATTGGAGTCCAAACTCCACCTCCCTTTCTTTCCCTCTTTTCTTTTTCTAAAGAATATTTTGGGCTTTGTAATAAAGACGTTTTGGTGAGGTTTAGCAGCTAGTTATGCTTTGCAAGAACAGTTAAGAACAAAGTTACTCCTTCTGCCTTATTGGGATCGTTTGGCCAGAAAAAAAAAATTATAGTTTGAGTATATTATTTAAAGAAATATTAGTTAAATGAAATTGGCCATATCTCTAAGACTAAGTGTGCTCCGTTGAATGACTAAAAGTGAGCTATGCATAAGAAATAGGGGGAAAAGAATAACTTCTGTTCACATAAAGGAAGATTGGAGTGGTACTATTGCGGTGATTCTATTTTGCTGTGTACTCTAACATACATAAAGCAACTCCACAGAGAGGCATCGTATTCACATTTTTTCAGGGTGGGTCCCGCAGCCACACGAGCGGCCTCGTCTGAACCTGGCAAGAGGGCATGGAGGCAGCCTGTCTCCACACGGGGAGGTTTTTAAACCTGGGGTTTCAGACAGTGTTGGAACAGCCAGTGAGAATGTGGGGCCTCGTATCTAGCACAGAAACCTTGGCTGCTCTTTGGGTGTTTGGCTACACACCCACGGAATACAGCATGGCAAATGACGGCTTTTAGGAGAACATACCCAGGTTTTGAAATTTTGAGGCATCACAAACTAAAAGGTTGAATTGAATAACTCAAAACAACATATAGGACTTTTCCCAGTTGGAAAATACCCAGCATGAAGGACCCCTTCCTCTTTTCTTTTCATTTTATCTCATTTTCTACTGTATAGTTATCTTCTTTTCAATTTAAGGTCGTGAGAGGTCATGATAGTTTTAAAGATGTAATTAGGAAGATGAAAAGTGGAGAGAGGCCTCCAAATCCATAGTAAGGTAAAGATCTGCTTATTTCTTTGAAATTTTCTTTTAAAATTAGGAACAGAGTTCATTTGGAAAGCCTCATGCATAGGGATTACATTGTTCATGTTAGTAGGGAAAAATGTAGGCCTTTGTCTCTGTATTACCAAATTCATAAAATGTTACCTCATGGTAGTCAATGCCAGGTGCGGACAGCTTTGTTGATCCCCGCCCCTCCAAAATGAATGGATACCAGCGTCTCAGTGGAATCTTTTGAAAGTCCTGACTTTGAAGTCCAGGATTAGACATTACATACAGCCACTGCCCCCCGCCACCACTGTCCATTAAACTAGTCTTACAACCCTAGAAATAGTTCCTGTAGTTCAAGCGCATGAACTAAATGAATGAGGGAGTAGAGACTTGAGGGCTCAAATGACACCGATACAAATGAGCATCTTCCAGATGTGTAATAGTTTGAATGCGTTTATACACAGTGTGGAGAAGGTCCAGTGTGTGACTCCTGTGCTAGTTCAGTAATAGCGGAGGGACGCTATTCAGGAAGCTGCCTTTGAATCTGTAGTGTTGGAGGCCTGTTACTGCTTCATGTGTGTTTCGCAGCTGAAAGGTCTGTTCCTGAGAAGTGCAATAGTAGCGTTGAAAGGTAGTACTGGTGAGGGACAGACTGCCTGGACTTTTTCCCATATTGAGTTATTTATGCATGCCTGTTTGAAATTAGACCTCTCAGCAGCACTTTGGAATAGTTTTATCAATACTAGGTTGATTAACATTTTGTACATTAAATTAAGTAAATATTGATGGATTGACTTCACTAGATATTTAACATTTTGAAAGCACAAAAAATATTTTTATCTTTTGGTATTAAAGGAGAAAAGCCATTGGTTTGTTTTCCCAGATGATATCTTTAATAATTAACTGTCTGTGCCTGGGAAGTGAGGACACCATTAAAACTGAGTCAAAGCAACTTCCTGGAACGAGTTTCAGTGCGTCCTCTGTCTGTACATCAGTCCTGGAAGCCTCTGAGAGGTAGGGCCATAGGAGGCCGGCGATGATCTGCTTTCTCTCTGCACTGTTAACCTGGGGAAGCTTTTGTGTGTGTACATGTGTGTGTGCCTTTTTTTTAAATGGAAGTTTACAACCGTAGCTGAAGTGTATGAGGCAGACCGTTCTGTTTGTGAACTACCTCCTTCCTGGAACAGTATCAGCTTTGCATTTTTGAACATCCCCAGAGTTCTTAGAATCCAGAGGTGACATGCCACTTAACGTCAGTATTCACTGGGGAGACACATTTGGTAGCTGTAGCTGGTATCCATCACTAGTCGCCTTGCCAGGATGAATGTGGTGGACAAAAGTAGCCTGAGGTAAGATGGGGAGCAGGTTGAATGAGTTGTTGAGGCATCTGCTGTGGTTATTTTAGCTTTCGGTCTGCTCTGGTCCATACCTACTCAGTTGTACGCTGGAAAACGCCTAACTACCAGGCCCTCTAACGGGAAATGGAGCGCTTGCATCATAGCATTTGCTGATTTCTGTGATGTGAATTACTCCCCTTGTGGCTGAAGCTGCCACCTTGGTGCTGAGAAGGGATGTGTACAGCGCATGCCCAGCCAGCAGCCACTGCATTTATCCCACCCTGGGGTGGGTTGTTGCATAATTTCTAAAGCATTTTTTTGTTCATGTGCTGATTTTTAAAATTACAAAATTAAAATCACAAGTCTGACTTCAGTAATCTTTTTTTTTTTTTTTTTTAATGGTTTGTTACAGTGCTTTTGTGATGTTAGATTCCTCATGGAATATTTTGTGTTTTCAAACACAGATGGAAATAGCATTGATTTTTAAAAACTTATAATTAATGGAAGAATCCAGAAACCCTCAAAATGTCGATCTTAAGCTTCTTAGAGTTAAAATACAGGTTTAACTTTTCTACTTTTTATGCTTAGAAAATTGATGTGAATTTTTTGTCTTCAAGTTTTGATCCCCATGAGCCTATATAATAAAAGGGTACTGGATTTTTTTCTTTTTAAACTGAAAGAATTCCTTGAAGACTTACATACTATTTTAAAGATCAAAAAGGCAGGACTGAGTGTTGTTGAATCTGATTACCTGGCGCAGTTTCTAGTTTTCTCCATTCTATGAGTCACTGAGGCTGAGAAGGGAAAAGAAATCAGAGGCTTGGATTCTGGAGCTGGAACAGCAGGCTCCTGAGAGCATTACTTTCACACTGTTCACACTTGGCCTTGCATGGTGTCCAGTCTAATGACATTGTTTCATCCTGATCTCCGAACTTGTGTTAATGATTCTAAAGTTCTAAACGTCAGTTTTGTGTGTGTTTCCTGTGAATTTAAGCACATTCGAGACACTCGTTGACACTTCAGAAAGGCAGTCTCTAGCCTTTTTGCATACACACCTTGATCAGTAAGAGTTTTTGAACACAAGTTCCTTATTGTAAATTCATATGTATATATGTTAAGTTGTATACTGCTCTACTAAAGTAGTATGTGCGTTTTAAGACATTCACAAAAACAGAAATAGGATGGCTTAACAAGTAAATGTTGAGTCGAAGTTCTGCTCTTTCTACCTGCACCCAGGAGCTTGTCTGGCAACATGCACTCTAAAGACCATTGACTCGGAATATTGCTTCTCAGTCTAATCTTGGGAAAAAGACAGGGATGCTTTTGTTGTGATGTATGGAGAAATCCTTTACATATTTGGTCTGATTTTCATGTAAAATCTCTAGCTTTAGAATTTTTCAGGAGAGCTTGTCATCAGTTTTCTGAAATGTCATGTTAATTCTTTTTCCTAAGTTACCAAGCAGCCCATTACCAAATGTTTTCCAGAGCTTCATGCGTGTTATTTTGGGCAGCCTGTTGTCTCTTCACATTAGGTATGACTCTGTGATGTACTTTTATTTTACTAGCCTGCTTACAAACTTCTTTCAGTCGCACTAGTGTTACATTTTACCAACAAATCCAGAATTATTTCAAATTGCTTTATGTTAAAATACATAATAACCTCCATTTTATTGCTGCATTAGTAAGTTTTGTTTTGTTTTGTTTTTTGTAATATTTCAGCATCTGAAGAAATACTTTTCTTGATGGGTCTGTTCTATGTATCACTTCATTTATTTTTTTATCTATGCCAGAAACCTAGAATTGTGTTGAGGTGCCACTTAGGTATGTAAACAAGTACAGAGACAAACACAGGTCTCTGTGCAGAAACCTGGAGCTCTGAAGAATTACCAAACCAACAGGAAAGTGAAAAAAACTCATGATGTATACAGTCTGTTATCTGAGGGTGTGACAGAATATATTATTTCTGAGAAGGAATTGAGAAGTTAATTGTTTAATCCATAGTAATGAAGTAGAGGTAAACCATAGTTGTATTTCTTCAGCAGGTACTCTGACCAGAGAATGGGTTCTGTGGAAAGTATTTTGTTTATTACCTTCTTGGTTTTGGGTCAGCAAGTAAATGTTTTGTTACTGTTTTTAATGCTGCTGGCATAGCCTGAAACCAGGCGCTCTGTTATTCCTCTTAGGTCATCAGAATTCTGCTTACTGAAGTCAGTGTTTTAATCGTAGAATCTAGAAATCTTGTGGGTGGTAGTGTATTAAGCAAGAAAAGAAGGCGGTTTGATTTCATTTCTCACACTTGGTGGAACCTGTTAGTTTAAAAGTCATGTTTTGACCTGTGAACAGAGCAGGGCTGAAAGGGGTTGCTGATGTAGTATAAATGTTCCATTCGAAGCTGCCAGTTTCTTCAAGCTCCTTTTCTGAAGAAGGAAAAAAAAAAGTGATAGATTGATAGCCTGCCAGAAAAGAGCAATTTCTAGGGTGCTGCCATGCACACCTGGCCATTGCGAAAGGCGGCAGCCCAGAGGGGTGCGAGTCAGGAGGGAACGCACAGAAACCAGGAGTTCAGACTGTCGTTAACATCATTTAAAATGAAACCTTGAACCAGAAAGTTCGTAAGGGATACAATCAAACATAGTAAATCTCTTGAACTCTAGTCTTTTGAGTATCATATACATCAGGAAGTTTTATGAGGTTTAAAATTTTATTTTTAAATAATAAGGAAACGAGCATTTCTTTCCAAGTATGTTGATTTATTAGCTGAGTACATGTGTGTTTATATATACTGATATATTGCCTGAGAGAGAGAGAGAGAGAGAGAGAGAGTGTGTGTGTGTGTGTGTGTAAAGTAAACCTGTTTTTCAGAGGGAACATATTCATCCTCTAGGATGGCTCCTAGGCTATTTTATACTAAAACTTAAAAAAATTGGCGCACTTTGCAATTGCCACTTTTTAAAAATTAATGCCTTGCACATTTCAGTTTTTTAAAATGCATAAAATCATATGGCTTAAAGACTTAATTGCTTGCCAGCGTTTTAGAACTACGGCGCTATATGTCACCTATGCTAAACAAAGGCAACTTCCACTCTAAGTTCATGTATTATTGAGGATGTCCTTTCTTAAAATTTCTACTTTTACTTTTGCTTTTGTGTAGAACCCTTATTACTTTGGGTTCTGAGTGTCTTAGAGGAGAGGTTTATGTAAGAAGTAGTATTTCTGAAATACCGATTTGACCATGGATTAATGTGATAGTGGAGGAATTCTGGCATTGTAGCCTAATTTATCCTTTTTAACTGTACATAAGAAGTATTAGCAGAAACCTCAGAGTATCTTGGGCTGAATACTCTCCACTCTGCCTTGTTTTCCACCTCATAAGGGCCTGTCCTCGTTCTCGTCCCTTCTAGGGATGCTGAGCGAAGCTAGGACAGGCCTGGAATCTTCTGGACGTGGGCGGGGGGTGGGGGTGCCCTGTGGCTGGGCCGGACTCCTAGCAATGGAATCATTCAAGGGCGCCTCGAGTTCAGGGTGGGATGCCATCTGTCGGTGTTCGATGACTTGGCACTTTTTGGGGCGCCATTATTAGCACTGTTTTATTTTTAATAACTGGAAGCACTTAATGATTTTTTTGTTAGTTTAATTTCAAATTATGGGTATTGTGGGTCAGGGAAGTAAGGTTTATTTCTCATTTATGTTTTCTGGGACTTCAGACTGTTTGGAGAAGGGGTAAATGGATTAGCTAATGAGCCTTTCTTCTAGACTCTGTAAGGTATGCTGTTTTGGCTAAGAGGTTTTAAAATAATTAACAAGCTTTAATATTCTGCTTTGTAGAAATGTATGTCTTAATGATTTGCAATTGATGTATTATACTTAACTTTGTAAACTATCCAATTTTAAGTTTAATCATTTTTCTGTTTAATTGTTTTCTGTTATCTAGGGAACACAGTTCCTTTTAAGACATTTCATACTTTTTGTTTTTGAGGGCAGTGGTACCAGTGGCCTTGTATGTACATACCATTCATTGCGCATATGATAAAGTAGCATATTTGATAAACTTCCCTGCTCAGTGTCAGTGAAATTAAGATGCATATATGTAAAGACAGAAATCAATACAATTAATTTTTGATTACTTAGGCCTGTTTATTCAGTTTGGCCATTCAGCCTTCTCTAATTATAGGCATACCTGTTTCTTCACTTTTGCCTTCTAGCAGTTTAATTTATCTTTCTGGGTAGGGGAGATTTTATGTGAAACTCAGTCCAGTCATTTTGCTACTGGCTAGCTTTGGTTTGAAAATTTTTTAATAAATTAGTTTTTTTAAATTACGCCCTTTATTCACCAAATAATCAAGTTGGCTAAAAATAAAAAACATGTAACTCTGTATTTTGAAGAACAATTTTTTATGAGCCCAACTGGATCTTCAAGTGTGGACATCACTTGAAAATTAAATGATGTTAAATAATAAACTTTTTATTTTTATCCACCCAATCTATAATTCAGAAGAAAAGCCTGCTGTGGTGTGAGCACAGAAGAGATGCAGTTTTAATGTTGGTGTCTTAGCGTCAGAACAGGTGGCAACAGGAATTCATCAGGGTGCTTCCCTTACACTTAGATCGACTCAACTGAGAAGACAGTTACTTCATTTTTTGGTTTCCCCTCTTGTGTATTTTATTGAAATCTTTCATAATATCCAGGATCCACCATTTTTGTATAAATAGAATACTTATATATAAAATGCAAGTGCACACCTACCCACAGGAAAGAAGAACTGTTCAAGCGTCATTAGTAACTTGTCTCAATTTCAGTGTAACTTACATTAGGGAGACTTTGAAAGTTTTAAAATCACTTTTTTTCTTCTTTTCTTTTTTCTTAAAAAAAATTGAAATGATAACTGCTAACATTTGTTAAAATTGTTAATAAATTGAAATTTTTAAATTTCAATTTAAAATTGAATAATATTGAAAGTTGTAACTGAGAGAAACTGCCATCTCTTCCAGCCAGGCAGTCTGACTGAACTAACCTGCTGGGAAACAAAGGGACGTTGTTTCAGAGTTGATTGGGACAACTGTCACTAGAGTTCTGAGTTCTGTTTATTTGCAACAAGGAACTTTACACCAAGCTTAGGTGCGTAAGGGAGTGGGTGCGCCAGCGCCTTGAGGGCTCTGTAGTGCGCTGCTGTGCAAAGACAAAACGTGTTCCTTCCGACATGGTAATGGTTGCTCTGAATAACTGATCAGGTGATCATTTTTTTCCTATTGCTTCAGATTTTATGCAGAAATTTTGTTAAATTCTGTAATGGTGATATGTATCTTATTAGGAAAATGATACATTAAAAATATTTTATGTAAGAACTGACAGGAATTTGCTTTGTATAATGGCTATCTGGCTTTAAGAAAGCACTGTAGAAAATTTACTAAAGTCCAAAGTTATATAGATATGTTAATAGATATATGTGCAACTAGATATGGACAATTGTATTTTTTTAAATAAATATTTTTAACAAAATGACTTTCCGAATGGATTACTCATTTCCCCCCCTTACATCTATTGAGGCGGCCCCTTCGTATTGTATTATCACCTATGCTAATGTGGGCGAGGAAAGAGTTCAGTTTTCCCAGTGGTTGTCACTAAAACCTGGCCTTTAACTATGTGATGTATATCTGCGTTAAAATATTTAAAACATGAGTTGGGATAGGTGGTGAAGAAGGGAGACTATAAAATGATTACTGATATAAAAAGGAATTAAAAGAACTGATGGGCTTGAAAAGTTATTCACTATTTATAAATTTTAAATAAAATTAAAATTTTTAAATTTTACTTTTTACTATTTTAATAGTGAAAATCTATTTTACGTTTATTTTTTAATTACATTTTATTGACTACTGCATTTCAGTTGTCCTGACGTTTCCCCCTTTGCCCCCCTTCACCCAGCGCCCCCACCCTCAGGCCACCCCCCCACCATTGCTCATGTCCTGGGCAGTGTGTTTAAGTCCTGTGGCTGCTCCCTCTCTTACATTGTAGTCTGCAGCCCCATGGCTACTCTGTAACTACCTGTCTGTGCTCCTTACATCCCCTCAACTCTTACCCATTCTCCCACACCCCCCATCTCTTTTATCTTTTTTTCTTTTATATTTTATTGATTATGCTGTTACAGTTTTTTTTCTGTAAATGCTGTCCCATTTTTTTCTCCCCTTTATTCCCCTCTGCCCTGCACCCCACTCTCCCACCAGCATCCCCCCGCCCCCTCCTTTAGTTCATGTCCATGGGTTGTACATGTTAAGTTCTTTGGCTTCTCCATTTCCTGTACTCTTCTTAACCTCCCCCTGTCTATTTTTGTACCTACCATTTATGCTTCTTACTCCCTGTACCTTTTTCCCCTTCCTCCCACTCCCCCTTCCCTCCTGATAACCCTCCATGTGATCTCTATTTCTGTTATTCTGTTCTGTTCTAGTTGTTTGCTTAGTTTGTTTTTGTTTTTGTTTTTAGGTTCAGTTGATAGTTACGACTTTGTTGTCATTTTACTATTCATAGTTTTTGATCTTAGATAAGTCCCTTTAACATTTCATATAATAAGGGCTTGGTGATGATGAACTCCTTTAACTTGACCTTATCTGGGAAGCAACTTTATCTGTCCTTCCATTCTAAATGATAGCTTTGCTGAATAGAGTAATCTTGGATGTAGTAGATCCTTGCCTTTTATGACTTTGAACACTTCTTTCCAGCCCTTTCTTACCTGCAAAGTTTCTTTTAAGAAATCAGCTGATATAGCCTTATGGCAGCTCCTTCATAGGGAACTTTCTCCTTTTCTCTTGCTGCTTTGAAGATTCTCTGATCTGTAATCTCGAGTGATGGAATTACAATGTGCCTTGGCGTGTGCTTCCTTGAGTCCAACTTCTTTGGGACACTGAGCTTCCTGGACTTCCTAGAAGCCTATTTCCTTCACCAGATTGGGGAAGTCCTCCATTATTTTTTCAAGTAAGTTTTCAATTTCTTGTTCTTCCTCTTCTTCTGGTACCCCTAGGATTTGGATGTTGGAACATTTAAAGTTGTCCCAGAGGTTCCTTAGCCTCTCATTTTTTTGAATTCTTGTTTCTTCATTCTGTTCTGGTTGAATGTTCCTTTCTTCTTTCTGCTCCAAATCATTGATTTGAGTCCCAGTTTCCTTCTCTTTACTGTTGGTTCCCTGTATATTTTTCTTTATTTCATTTTGTATAGCCTTCACTTTTTCCTCCACTTTGTGACCATATTCAACCACCTCTGTGAGCATCCTGATTACCAGTGTTTTGAACTGTGCATCTGATAGGTTGGCTGTCTCTTCATGGCTTATTCTATTTTTGGAGCTTTGATCTATTTCATTTGGGCCATATCTCTTCATCTCAGCATGCCTGTTACATTGGAAGGGGCGGAGCCTGAGGTATTCACCAGGACAGGTCAACCCAGGTCGCTGGGTTGTGACACTATGTGGGGGAGATGTACAAGGGGGAGCAAATGCTTGCTTAGCTTTCCACAGGCTTTCAAGTCACTTCCCCTGCTACCCACAAGCAAATTGGGCCCTTCTGTGGCTGATTCCTGGGTGGGAGGGTTTGTGTACGTTTTAAGACCCTGTGGGTCTCTCCAGGGACTCTCCTGTGAAGCTGGGAGTTTCTCCCACTGCCGCATCCCCCATAGATTTTTACAGCCAGAGGTTTTGAGACTTTCTTTTCCTGTACTAGAATGCTAGGTTGCGTGGTCTGTCTCACTTCTCAGTTGTTCCTCCCAGTTTATCCACATGCAAATGTGGGACCGCCTGGTCCTCCAGCCGCTGCCTTGCTGCGCATCCTCTCCACCCTGGCTGGCTGTCTCTGCCCCTCATACCCATCAGGGTGAACGCTGCTGCTTTAACTCTTTGGTTATCAGACTTCCATACAGTGTAATTTTCTGGCAGTTCTGGTTACTTTTTGTTTTTAAATTTGTTTTTGTCCTTTTGGTTGTGCGAGGAGGCAAAGTGTATCTACCTACACCTCCATCTTGGCCGGAAGTGACCTATTTTACTTTTAAATTTTAAGTAAAATTTAAATTTTTAAAAAATTAATTGCTTTTATTCTAGCTGTTTTAAGAAGCAACTTTTGCTTATTTCTGCTCTGGGCTCTGTTTCTTCATGTAGTTTTTGAGATTAAAAACTGGAGACTTCAGGCCCTGAACGGCATGGCTCAGTTGGGCGTTGTCCCAAAAAGGGAAGGGCTGCTGGTTCAATTCCTGGTCAGGACACGTGCTTGGGTTTCAGGTTCCCTGGTAGGGGCACGTAGGAGATGCAACCGATCAATGTTTCTCTCTCTCTCTCCCTTCCACCTCCTCTCTTTAAAACAAAACAAAATAAAACAAAACTCACACAGGAAAAGAAAAACAACACTGGAAACTTCAGTTCATTTAGCAAATGACATTAGGCCTTCTCAGAACTGGGTTCAGGGGGAAAGTGGAGTTAATAGGTGGCAAAATCACATCAAAGAGGCCTGTTTCCTATCTCCAGGTAAAAAGAACAGGATATAGTAATAGGTTGTTCTGTGGGGGACAACAGTTTATCAACCCTGGAGAAACGTCACTTTAGATGCAGGTCACTAAGCAATGTTCAGTGCAGTTGGGTGATAACTTACGAGGACTGCTGGATTCTCCTACACCACTCTCCTCAAAATAATATGGCCTAAAACAGTAGTTGCATGAGGTCAAATAAGTGGGAAATGGGGTGTCACCTCTTGGAGATTCAAAATGCATCTTAGGGTATTAAAAGCTCTAAGAATTCCTTCAGTTAGGAAAAAACAACTATGCACCATTTTCTAAGCTTTCTGACTATTGACACATCCTCTTTTGAGAGGTGTAATACCTATTTTGCAATCACTTTTTGTGTTTTATTGGGTAATTTTCCATGGTTGGCATTATGAGGTAGTAGATAATCATTAATAGTTACAAGATTTCACATGGATTCTCACTACAAAGTACTGCACTTATTGGAATGTGCCCTTTAATTGAAGGGAGTCCATAAAGGTGACTTCATTTGAAATAACCTTAAAATAAGAGCACAGTGTATAATAAAAATTGAAACAGCAAAGAGAAATTTAGAATAGGCAGGAAGAATTGGTGTCAGGAGGTTGCTGGAATGTCAGAGCGGGTTTTGTGATTCCCACATGTTTTGAACACGTTGTTGCTGACAGAACCCCCACTCCAGTCAAGGTCCCCTCCCACGTTGCCAAACCAGTGGTGATACTCAGTCCTCAGTGGGCCTGGTGGTAGCGCTGACTGCTTTCTCCTTAGGAGCTCTTCACATGCCCTCCGGGAAGCCACGTTCTCTCTTGAACTTCCTGTACTCCGGCTTCTCTCATTTTCTCTGTTGGATTCTATTCTGTTTTGAAACCTTTAGGCGGTGAACCTCAGGGCTCGGTCTTGTAGTCTCTCTCCATTACCTCCCTAGGTGGGCTCATTCAGTCCCACGGCCCTAAACCCTGTACGTGACCATGAAGTTTCTATCTCCAGGCTTGACTTTCTTTTAATCTAGACTTTTATATCTCCCAGCTTGTGCCACCTGAGACAGCATCATGAAACGCACACTTCTGAACCAGAACCCTTTGTGCCCCCGCTGTCTTCCAGTGTTAAATGGCTTCATCATATACCCAGTGACTCCAGTCCGATGCCTTAGGGTCAGCCTTGCTTCCCGTCTTTCACACCCCACACCCCCAACTCATCGGCAAATTCTGTCCGTTTGACTTTCCAAAGATAGCTGTAATCCAACACTGTCCGAGCCCCCATCTCTTACGTAATTACAATTGCAACTTGGCCTGTGTCCACGACTTCATTCTTGCCCCTTGCCTGCTCACAACTCTCCTAATAATCTCGCGTGACGAGGCCATACTCCTAACATGGCTTATAGGATCTGGCTTCTAGCTTCCCTCCAACCTATTTCCTGCCATCTTTCCCTTCCCGCAGGGCAGTGAAGCCCACTGGCCTGCTTGTTGGTCCTCATATACAAGTCTATTCAGCCTAAGGCCCTTGCACTTGCAGTATAATAGGACCTTCCCCGGCTCCTTGGATGGCTCACTCCTGCACGTCATTCAGGTTTCTGCACAAATGGTACCTCCTTAGAAAGGCTTTCCAGAGCCGCTCTCGATATTCCCTCTTCCGCCTCCCTTCCCTGCTTTATCTTTATGGCACTCAGTTGTCCCTCATCCTGTTTCTGTTTGCTATCTCCATGTCTTCAGCTGCAGTGTAATCTCTGTGAGGCAGGGACTTCCTTCTCATTTTCTGCTCTCTCTGCACATAGGTCAGTGCCTTGAGGAGAGCAGGTGCTCAATAAATCGTTTTAAGTGAATAAATGAATTCTCTCAAACACCTGTGTCACTGTGCCTTCCTTTAGTGAACCTGGTGCACTGATGGGTGGGACTCCCACCCCTAAGGAGCAGAGGGAAACCTGGAAACAGGGCAGTCGCACAGCACCCTGGAACGTCTAAACTCTTAAAAAGGCGGCGATCAGAGGAGAAGCCCTACTCGCTCTGTGACTGAGTATGCTGCGTGGTATAAAACCTACCTGCCTTTCCTGATTCTGAGTCTATGTAAGAGGGAACAGTGGTTCTCAGTTCTTCTTGTGAGAGTTTTGTTTCTAAAATACCAACCGTGTGAACCCACAGTATGAGAGAGCCCTGTCTTTGGGGAACATTTGGTCATTTGTTTCTGTGCTTATATAAATAAGGATCAATTGTCCTTGATAATAGATAACACACTTACTCAATTTAAAATATTTTATTTTAGAAAAGGCAGTCTTAAATTTGTTTCGATCTTGTTTTCTATATTCACAACTTAATACTGATCACCTTAGATATCGCCATTGATTCTTCTTTCTAAATCTGTATAAAAGGGATGTTTGCTTGAAAACTAGCAAGAAAAATACAGCTGTTTTCTTTTTTCCCAGGTCAGTTGCTCACTTCAGTTGGGCTGTACTAACTCTGGCTGGCATCTAATACTTTGAAGTGTTTACAGACATAATTAAAACTATAACCCTAGACCACCAGCTTTCAAAAGAATTGGGATCTGTTTGACTTACAATAAATATGTTAATAAACATAGGAACAATTTCTAAGCTGCTCATGAGGTTTTAAAAACAAAAATTGCTAACATTTATGAAGCAGTATCTATGTCAGGCATATAATAATTGATTTACACAAATTCACTTCTTTCAGAATTCCTTTGAGGTAGGGTAAGATTCTTTTAGAAATGTCACTTTACACTTTTTAAAAAAGCAAAGCCAGAAGAGCCACAGAGAGAGAAGCTGAGGCCAGTGCTTGAATCAGGTCTCGGCAGCCAGATTCCCATCACCATGCCTCGCTGCTGGCAGGTGGAGCGGGCTTACATGACAATGCCCACAGTTCCAGGGTAAACCTTTTAATGTTGGGCATGTGAACCATTTTACTTGGACAGGCTACTGAGAATTGTGATCCACTTATTTTTTACACATGTACACTTGTATATACACAGAGAAAGTGCAGGTGAACTACTATACAGTCACTGTAACAGCCATTTCACGACTTACAGAACTCTCATCCCTTTCCAAGTCACTGAGTTTGTCGTCTTTGCATTACTACAGGATTTGCTTGACAGGCAGAAAGGATACTGAAAGTATACTTGGAGTATACTGCACAGCTTGAATTGTTCAGAGGTCCTAGTTTTGTTAAAGAACTTGACATGGTACACAGGCATACCTCGTTTTGTTGTGACTCACTTTATTGCATTTTGCACATGTTGCATTCTTTACAAACTGAAAGCAAGATCACCAGCAAAAAGATTTTAACTCATTTTATTGTGATACTCGCTTTATTGTGATGGTCTGGAACTGAACCCACAATATCCCTGAGGTATGCCTGTAAAGAGTTGTCTTTCTCTATAGAGGATATAAATTTTAAATCAGATATTTTTATTTTAGAAGTTCTTAGTGCTGTTTCTACAGCTTTTATAAGCTAGTCAATGTCAGTAAAGAAAAACAGAACATCCATCTCATTCTCTCAGGCAACTTCTGGACCAGTTTGCACTGATTACTAGTAGTGGTGTGCTGGCAAATGTTTAACACCTGGCTCTCCAGGAGAGAAAAGCCATGATTTGTAGCTTTTGCCAATTGCTGTGGTGTAAATACTCCCACCATGGCTGATGTCAAGCCACCAACACTTTTATCACTGAAAGTGGAGTTGGAAAGAGATGCACTCCTTTTTACAGTGTTTCCACCATACAAATACAATAGTCATAAATCACTTCAAGAACACAGGTATAGAAAAATTAGGAAGTGATGACTTTCGAGTAGCTATTACCTTTGTTTCTCACGTATTTTAAGTTTCTATAATTTGATTTTTAATAATGGCTGTATTTAACAAACAGCTCTTAAAAGAAATTTTAACAATCAACTTTTGTAAGCTGGTAGGAGCTAGGCCAGCATATCACTGAATTAGTGTCCCAAAGATTCAACTTTTCCTTTTGCTGTGTTAGACGGACAAACTATTGATGTCAGCAGCAGGAATTTGAGGGACTTTGGACTATTAGTAAGGAAAAAGCACACAAATCCTGTGAGCATGCCATGGGTTTGTTTTGATTAACTTAAAATGTATCTACATATAGCAATGATCACCGAGCTTTATAATTTCAACCTATATTTTCAAATTCAACGAAGAGTGATCTTCAAACCCAGGGTGTGGTCCATACAGGAGGCGGCCAGTGGAGTGAAGCAGATTGCTGCCTTCCTCCTTCCCAGGCAGACAGCTCTGACCGAAAGTCTGAACCAGGGAAGAGGAAAGGAATTTAAATAGCCAAGTAAACTTCTAATGATTTGCCCAGGGAGGACCCGGGTACCAGAACTCAATTTAATATCTTCTATGCAAGTCTTCATTGGAGAGGCTCCAAAGCAAGGCGTGGGGAGCTCGCTCCACTGCCACCCCTGCGTTCCTCCACACTTCGGTCTCTGCGGGTGCTCGCGAGGCCGATGTCTTCGCCTGCCTCCTTTACCCACTTTTACCTCTGGTAGCACTCCGAGCTTTCTGTTCCAAGCTGTTTGTCCTGGGTAAGAACTATAACAGAAACAAACAAACAAACAAACCAAGCAGCACATTTCAGCAGCTCTGATGCTGTTGCAGCTATTACTCGTTCTGAGAGCTCACCCAGGCCTTTTGTTTCTCTGCTGTCCAACGGCTCCTTGGGGAGCCGAGGGAACGGTCAGGCCTGAGGGTCCTGGCAAACTGTTGGTGGGGGCAGTTTGTTGAGACTGGTGTCTTGTGTTGGGGAATAGGTAAACTTCTTTCTGTCTTTCTTGATTAGGAAATTTAGTAAGCATTACTCAGGTGACATTCAGCAAATATTTAATACTATTTTAAGATTTACTTATTTTTAGAGAGAGGGGAAGGGAGGGAGAAAGAGAGGGAGAGAAACATCCACATTCGAGTGAAACCTTGATCAGTTGCCTCTTGCATGTCCCTGGTTGGGGACCTGGCCCACAACCCAGGCATATGCCCTGACCAGGAATCAAACCGGTGACCTTTCACTTTGCTGGTTGGTGCCCAGCCCACTGAGCCATACCAGTCAAAGTACAGCCAATACTTTTTGAATGCATGGCCTAAATGAAGGCTCTGTCCTGAGGGCGAGGCTAGATGGCAACTGGAATCTGCCGCCACAGAAGCAAGACTGTAGTTAGAGCTGACTGGGGAGCCCTCGTTGTCCTTCTGGGCTTTTAAACTGATTGTTTAAAGGGTGCGTATGTCCACCTACTGAGAGAAGCCTCTGGCTGCCTGTTCCTTCAGTCTTTGCTTTCTACAGGGCGTACAAAGGCTCTCCCTGGGCACCTTCTCTTAAGAACTGGCTCCTCGCTCCGCTGAAACCGTTGTGGGGACTTTGAGAGCTCTGGGCAGAAAGGCAGCTGAGGGCTCAGGGTTATGAAAACAGATTTGGGACTCTCCCTGCCTGGGGTCTTCAGGGGTAAGATTATTCTTAGGTAGTGTGTCTGCCCTGAAAGTGCTTTTCTGTGCTACTTGGCCAGAAGGAGTTCTTTTTGAAAGAAAGATGTGGACTAGAGTCAAAATCGTAAACTGCAAAGATATGGCCAACTGGGCTGCTGGGCTGAGTTCCAGCCCAGGAGGCAGGCTCTGCCTTTCAGTGCCCGGCGCAGGCTGGAAAGAGCCCCGGCCCGGTCCCGTGGCGCAGAGAGATGCAGGGAGCCACGTTCGCATCCTTGCCCCTCTCCTTCTAGAGAAACCATGAGTCAGTCTGTCCCCACCGCTCCTGCCCCAAGAGCGTGGTGCAGACAATCGCATGGCAAAGCAGGAAGGGGGAAAGGAAGCTGTAGAAAAATAAACATTTCCTTGCATTTTACTTGAAACAGAACAGCACTGCTGGTGTGCTAAGGCCCACAGTATCTCCCACAGCCCGCCGCCCCCCCACGCTGTTTTCCTCCTCTTGTGTAGAAACAGATTCTTTCCTTACCTGATGAGAGTCCAGTGTGCATCCTGTGGAAAAACCGGAGCAAGATGTAGAAGGTAAAAGCCAAGCAACCAAAGATCACGCCACAGACCAGGAAACTGTAGCTGCCCTGAGCCTGGAATATCTGCCAAAGGGGAAAATACAGACACATAGGCCATCAAAACCTCCCACGGAGATGTATTGGAGGAAGCAGACTTCTCGGGCCCTTGGCAGGTTTTCTAGTCAAGTTGAGGATTGCCACACCAACAGATAGAAACATGGGTAGCAGGGACACGGCCTTGTTTCAGGGTTATGTTCCTGGAGGAGACAGCAAACCCGTTCTATGGCAGGGGTTGGATCCAGTGAGCACTGCGGTCCCTTCAGTTCTATGTCTGGAACCTTCTGAACAATCTCCTTATCTTTCTTAAACCTCCAATCATACTAGGTGTTTCTATACCCACAAGGCCTGATGAGAACTTTGCAGAGAATATTACACATGTACACTTTTATTATGGAAAATTTTAAATATATGCCAAAGTAGCATATCGAACTCCCATGGACCCACGGCCAACCCTAGCAACCAGCACCAGCTTCCTCCGTACCCGCCACGGGATTAGGCCCTGAAGACCGGCCTGGCCCTCACGCTGCTTTCACGCAGAGGTCGCCGAGGGATGCGGCCCTTCCCCACCCAGCAGGGCAGACGCAGAGGAAAGGAGAACAGTGAGGAGGGGGAGCCCGAAAGAGCTGGTTTTGGATGCCATCCCTGACAGTTATCAGAAGTGTGATGACTGGGGGCAAGTGGCCTACTTTGTCAGAGTTTCAGTGTCCTCCTCTATAAAAAGGGGAGTGGCAATATCCACATCACGGTCTTCAGTAAAAACCAGACTTAGTTTTTTCCCTGGTGTACACATGAGCTGTGGGTATGTGTAACAAGAACTAGGAGAGCTGGCCTGGGATCAGGGCTGGAGCTGGGCAGTAAGGCTGGGCCCTCTGCAGGGCAGCCCAAGGCTCCGCGAGGTGGGGGGAGGGAGCGGCAGGTTGGGAAGGAATGGACAGAGGACTCTGCAGCTCAGTCCCATCCCAGGCCCGGGAGCTAAACAACATTCCCGTGGGGGCGCCTCTGGCCCTGCTCCCAGACATGACTTGTGTTTGCTTTGGACTCTTGCATCCTTTTCCAGCCCCAGGTCCCCCCCGCCAGCCCCGGCTGGAGGCTCAGCTTTCAACGCTGGCTCCAAAACGGAAACAGGTAACACAGAGTGGGCCCTGCTCACGTGGGTTCAGAAGGCGGCTGGCCGCACCTTCCCACCTGCTTGGAGGAGGGCTCCCCAAATGCGCTCTCCTCCCCGCCGAGTTTCCCACATACCCAGCCAACCAGCATCTGGAGGGACATCTCGCCAATCCCTGCCCCTGTCACCAGCACTGTGGTCGCACAGCCTAGGCGAAAGAGAAGGATGTAGTTTAGTAAGAACCAATTAGGAGACAGAAGTCAGCAGGTGTAATTCAGGTTATTTCTGGGAAGTCTCTGGAAAGCAACATGGCTGCCCAAGAGGGCTCCTTGGGGTTCCTGAGATTTCTCAAACTTCAGCTCTTAGCTCTGCTTGGGAACGCATAGGTCCTGCTGCCATTATGTCCCTTCCTTGCTCTGAGACCTTCGATTGCTCACAATTGTTCTCCCAGTAAATTCCAAGTTGTTTAGCCTGGAAATCTGACCCTTCCAAAGCTGACCACCACCAACCTTTCCGGAAAGATTCCCTGATCTCCTCAGACCAGCCCTCCACTGGCCAGAACAGTGTCCTCGATGGCCTGGCATTGCACTGACCAGCCACACCTCTCATCAACCTGGCAACAGGGCACAGACTGTCAGAGCCCAAACTTCAGAGCCAGATGTGGGTGTCAGGCCCATCTGTGTCACCTGTTAGCTCTGTGACCTTCAGCAAGTCCTCTCCTTTTTCTAGGCCTTGGTTTCCTCCTGTAAAGTGGGCATCAACACATCTTGCGCTGTGTGGATCACCCTAATGCAATGCACCTAAGGCCTCAGTGAAGTCCTGACATACAGGAAACCCTCAAAGCCAGGCCAGTTCTCGGCTTACACCCTCCTACGCTGCCTTCAGGATAAAGTCCAAGTGACTTAACGTGGTCTCCAGGGCCCTTTATAATCGGCCCCTGTTGAGAGCGCAGACTCCCCTCTCCCACCACCCGCTGCAGGCTGCCCTCTAGCCAGGAGAAGCCTCCTGTTTCCCGCCTGCACACACACAGGCTCACCACCAGGTCCTGACACATGTCCCTCCTCCTCTTTGTCCAGCAAACTCCTGCTCAGCTTTCAGTCCAGGCTTAGGTTTCCTTCTGTACTCTCCCCTCAGCCCACCCCAACCCTGGATGAGCTGCTCCGCTGTGCTCCCTCAGCTCCTCCCCCCCAACCAGGCTTTAAGCCCCCCGAGAGAGGGCGGTGCCTTGAGTTTTTCCTCTGTGACATATATCACTGCCTATTATCAGCACAGTGGCCAATGCATGGTAGACACCGAGTGTTTTTTGAATAAAACAGATCATTTTTCACTCTGGGCTTCAAGTTCCCCTCTTAGTCTCATGTTTGAGTTATTACCTATCTCTGCTCCTTTGCTCCCACACCAGCCGCTGGCCTCTGCCCGCACCCCGCCCTTCCCTGGAATACCTGTCCTTTCTCCTTCTGCCTTTCCGAATCTTGGGCCCGCTCACATCCCATCTCTTCCATGAGGCTACCTCGAGACATAACACTGGTCCCTCCCTTGTCTGAATTCCTGTGACACCCACTGTCCATTCCACTCATTCATTCAAAAACCTGCCCATACCTTCTGTGCATCAAGTACTGTGTTAACACTGAGACTATGCCGATGAATAGCGTTAACACATATACTGAGCACCTGTGAGCCAGTTAAGCTGCCAAGTCAAGAGCTTTACAGTTTCTCTAATGCACAAAACAATCAAAGGTATTGGCATCCCCATTTTGCAGACGAGAAAACAGGCTCAGCGAGGGGAAAGAAAGGGAACCACCCAAGCCCACAAAGCCAAAGAGAGTGAAGGCGGGACTGATTTGGGTCTGCTGATGACCTCAAAGCCCTTGCTTTTGCCCTTGTCCCTTGCCGGTGCCCACAGGGAGTGGGTTGTCAAGGAGAGGATGTGGATAACTAGATACAAAAGCCTCAAAGGGATCGAACATGAGGAGGAGGTACAAAGGAGGGGGTACCGGCCCAGTGGGGGTCAGAGAAGCACCCCGGAGGGACAGAGGAGAAGGGGCAGGGTAGAGGACATCCCGTGCGGAGGGTTCTTCCTGTGCCAACCATGGAGGGACAGGACTGCCGAGCGCCACCGGAGAGCGGCCGGCCGGCCCAAACGCCGGCCCCGAGGGGAAGGGAAGGAGCTCCACAGGAAGCCGCGAAGACCAGAAGCCGCTCAGTGTCCGAGCCATCCCTCCGCAGCAGCTCCTGGGTCCTCTCCCTGCCTCCACGTTAGAATCTCCCAGCAGCCCCTGGCCAATTACACCAGACTTCGTGGAGGTGAAGCCCAAGAACAGGTTTTGTTATAAGTGCTCCAGATGATTCTAATGTGGAACCAGCTCTGAGAACCTCTGATGGATGCAAATGTGAAGGCAAAGAGACAGGCCAAGACCTGCCAAGGCAGCAGGGGAGGTGATTAGACATCGGGAAAAGCTGGGTACCGGTAAACATTCCAAGCGGGTGGGTGATGATAAAGGCCTGAACTAAGGCAGGGATGGGGACAAATGAAGAGAGGATGGATTTGAGTGACCATTTGCAGGCAGAATCAACCAATATAACTTACTATTACTACTGTTAAGCTCTAACATTTGTTGTAACTTTAAACTCTGTGGGTTATAGTGTGTGACAAGATATCAACATTATTTCTGGACTTCATTTACGCACTTGAGGTTTGGGGGTTACCTTAGAGTTCAAGGACACAGGTCTCCTGTCCCTCATTCCTGTGGAGAGCTGAGGTGGCTGCAGGTCCAACTGCTCTGGCCCCCTGCCCCCACACACTGATTTCCCCCCTCCTCCAAAGAAATCACGCATCTTTAATGCTTGTTTTCCAACGCCCTAGAGCATTTCTAGTTACTTCTAAGGGTAATGTTAGCTGTTCAAAACATGTTTTTAATGAACTCATTTTACGAAATGCGTTTGCTGTATGCACTTGGGAGGCTACAGAATGAGAATCAGAGGTTTCTGACATCAAAGAAGCTGTGTCACAAGCCCACATCAGCCGCGGAGTCCTTGTTCTAATCCTCTGCATTTCGAACATCCCCAAGAAGAGCGAAGCTAGGAGAGGCTGGCTATCTTCGTTAAGGTATTATATAAAATCCCGTTCCTAGACTGTCACTTCTCTCGTGCCACTTTGCAACTTGAAATTCCCATGCATGTTATACAAAATGCCAGCTGTGGATCAGTAGATATGACTACAGGACAAAAGAAAATGGAAGAGGAAAACTTACTGCTTCCCTGTGGCTCGAAGTCATGTTATACAGGTACAATGTTCTAACCATGGATTAGAACAACCCCATTTATGGACCTGTTCCCACTAATCAGGGGAGCGTCATTTCTGTGAGGAGGTAGGGCAGTGACCTTCCAGCTGCGACATCACAGAAAGGTGGGGGAGCAGGGGAGGAAGTGGCACCCCACCAGGGGGACCCGGACCACCCTCGCTCCCAGCCTCAGCACACTCACCTTTGTATTGCAGAATGTCCTCTGTGTAGGCTAGCATGCTGGGGAAGGTGCTACTAAGGAACAGGCCCAGACTGGCCGTCCCCACGAACAGGAAGATGACATTGTAGGAGAAAGCAAGAAGTACCAGGTACGTCACCACCACGCCGACCTGTCACAGCAGTGATGGAGGTGATTAGAAGTCGGGAAAAGCCGGGAGTCCATGAAAAAGGAAAAACCTGGGGGAGCCAGCGTCCTGCCTTGGACAGTTGGGCCTTAGGAATGGTGCTGTGACCAGTGTGCCACCCTGTGGAATGTGCGGGGACTGCACCTTCCGCATCCTGTCTGCCAACCAGGCCCTGAGAACATGCCCAGAGGGAGGAGGTGAGCCCAGCCAGCAGTCTCCAGCAAATGGCCTACCACACGTGCTTAAGAGGTGCTTAGTGAGGGAATACCGACGTCCCCAAGGTCTTATCTGTAAGCATGGGAAACTCCATCCAAGTCATCAGCTCTCCACCCTGCCGGCTGGGAGGCCGGAGTCCTTCGCTCCTCCTGAAGAAGAGCTGCTTCTCCTCCCTTACAAGCAGTGAGCTCGCAGGGGAAGCTCTGGGGTAGCAGGAGAGGCGGGGTGGTAGCTGCAGGGTCCCCAGCATCTAGGAATCCAGACAGAACCCCCAGTCCCAGAAAGGGTCAGTGGCTGCGGCTGTGGCAGGGCAGCTTGGGTCCCCTCAGATTCGGCCCAGATTGCACGGGCAGTGTAGCCCATGGCCGGAGACCCCTGTAGTGGGCTAAGGGACCAGGAAGCTTTCTAGTTCAGTCAGGGTTTCTGTCACATGGGAATATTTTTGGTAAAATGACCCTTTAAAAAATTCTTTAAAAATGTATTTATGTCAATATTGACTAATTTCTATGCCAAACGCATCTGAGAAGAAACCGGGCAGTATAGCTTTGGAGGCAGAAGACCCAGGTGTAAGCGCCATCAGTTCTGGGGCCTTGAAGTAGCCGATCTCTCGGATTCTCAGCTTCCTATCCTGCGGAATGGGCTACAAAAGCCCCACTGAAGAGCGGTGGGGAAACGATAGCAATGAAGGGCTCCAGTGTGAGGCTTCGCACAAATGGCAGTCCTAGTATTTGTGTGAGAGCTTTCCTTAATGTCTCAGGAGGTGGCAATCATCTACAAAAGCCCTCAGTGTTGTGGTATAACTCTTCTGGGTGAGTATATCTGTTTCTAGAAAAAATAAGCTCTAGAGAGCTAGAAGGCCGGGGAGAAAGCACAGCTAACCAGCCGAGTGTGCCTTACCGATGAGTGTGAGGGAGGGAAGGCCTTTCACACTCACCAGCAGCCCCTGAGGGATTCGCACCAATTGGAGAAACAAAGCCAGGACTGCAGCCCCAAGCCCCTGTCCCTCCACTCTCCTTCAGCTGCCCCTCGGTCTGCTGCGGGACCTATGCGACACCAGACCCCTCATGGAAGCTCAGAGTCCTTGCTGAGAAAGGCTTGCTGCCCATGGAGGGAGGGATTCGCCAGCAACAATGGCAGAAGGAAACACATTCCCCCACAGCATGAAAGACTTCTTTCACGCAGTAAAAACACGAAGGCAAGGGACTTGTCTGTGGTTCGTAACAGAATGTATTTCTTTGGCATAGAAAATGGTCCCACAGATCCATCTGCTCTTTCTTCCTTCTTAGCTCAACTGTTTTTACAAAATGATTTTATTTCTTTATTTTTTAGAGAGAGGGGAAGGGAGAGAAAAAGAGAGGCATAGAAACATCGCTAGGTTGCCTCTCGCATGCCCCCACCTGGGTACCTGGCCCGCAACCCAGGCAGGCGCCCTGAATGGGAATCAGGCGGGGGACCTTTCCATGCACAGGATGATGCTCCAACCAAGTGAGCCTCCCGGCCAGGGCTGTTGTGTTGCTTCTTTGTCTGCATGTCCCATTGGTTCAGCCCCACAGTTTCAAATACCTCTATGCCCGGACTCTTAAGTCTATCCTTCCAGCCATGACCTGTGTCCAGAACTCCAAACTTTCATGTAAAACTGTCTCTTTGATATGTCCCTCGATGGCTCACCATGTGGCCTGAATGGAACTTTTCCCTTCCTCCCACAAACCTTCTCTTTGTTGCCACATCAGTTAACAGCATCCCCGTTCCTCCAACCTTGTATCTAAGGTAGTCCTCGATCTTTCCTTTCCTCACCTGCATTCTGGCCAACAGTACCTCAGATAAACATCCAGAACCTTTGCATCTCTCCAAGTCCATCCTGCCCCCGCCCCCCATCCCGCCACCACTCGCAGGCCTGGACTGCGACGGTGGCGTCTCACTGTTTCCCCTCAGGACTGGCCTCTTTGGCTCAGGAAGTCTCAGCTGGGCCCCAGAATCTGATTTGCCTTTTTGAAAGCCTTCACTCCAGGTGAGTTTTTATCATCCGTGCCTTGGATGCTTCAGACTTTCTTTCTTCTCACAAACCTCGATTCCTGCCCCGCTCTCCTCTCTCTAGGCGGCGGGCCTCATGCCTTGCAGAGTCTGGCCACCGGTAGCGCCTGCACCCTCCCTGCCCTCCTTCCCCCCTCCTTCCCTGAATCATGTCACCCCAGCTCCACGGAACAGGGGCTCCCTCCTCCCTGAACTTCCGTCGCCCTTCCCCACTGCTCTGCCTCCCCTCGCCCCAGCCCCAGGGCCTTCTTCACTCAGTTCCCGTCAATGGTACCTTCACAGACCCTCCTCCTTGCAGGCGTCCTCCCTTTCTCCTCCACCGATGAAGAGGCTTACGTCACCCTGACTCCTGTCAGACCAAGCTCCCTTCAACTCAGAAATAGTCGCAATACCCATACCTCCAGCCCCCATCTCCCTCTTACCCTCAGCCTCTCGGGTTTGGCTTCTACCTGTCCAACCTCCCATCTACCTTGAATGCAAATTTCTTTCTTGAAGGTCATAAACCAATACAAGCACAAATCCAAAAACCTTTCTTGAGACTCATTGTCTTTGGTCTGGGGAGCCCCAACAGTATCTGCTGGAAACTCAACCCAAGAAAGGACTCTCTGACAACAGACTGGGCCACCTGGAAAGGTAGTGAGTTCCTAGTCCCTGGAGGTGTTTAAACAGACTGTGTACCTCTCCTCTATAAAGGGATGTTATTGAGGTAATTCAAGCCCTGCTGGGAGGTTGCACTTCCAGTCAAGATGGTGGCACAGGCAGACATGCCTCACTTCTTTGCACAACCAAAAGAAAATTACAACTGAAATATAGAACTACCATCACTCAGAACGGACAGAAATCGAGTTGAATGGAAGTCTGACAACAACAGAATTAGAGAAGCCACATTCATCCAGACTGGGAAACAACAAGTAGAGTGGATGAAGCGGAGAATCAAATCAATGATTTGGAACATAAGGAAGCAAAAAACAACCAATGAGAACAACAAGAAGAAAAGAGAATCCACAAAAAACGAGGATAGTGTAACCGCCTGTGGGACAATGTAAGCAATCCAACATCCATTTCATGGTGGTGCCAAAAGGAGAAGAGAAAGGGCAAGAAATTGAAAATCTATTTGAAAAAATAAAGAAAGAACACCTCCCTAATTTGGTGACGGAAATAGACACGCAAGTCCAGGAAACAGAGAATCCCAAACAAGATGGACGCAAAGAGGCCCACTCTAAGACACATCATGAGTGTCAAAGCTTAAAGATAAAGTGATAGGCGGCGTGGGGGTGTGTGTGGGGGAGAATGGGTGAAGAGGTGAGGGGATTAAGAAGTGTAAATAGGTAGGTACAGAATAGCCATGGGGATATAAAGTACAGTATAGGAAATAGAGTCGCCAAAGAACTTACATGCTTGACACGTGGACATGAACAATGCCTGAGGGAGTGGGGGGCACTGTGTGAAGGGAGGCAAAGGGGGAAAAAGCAACACAACTGTAATAGCATAATCAATAAAATATAACTAAAAAAAAAAAAAAAAAAACCCTGCTGGGAGGTTGGGCTGGATGACCTTTCAGGAATCTCTCACACTCGGGGAGAGATACATCGCTCTGGCCCCCTGCCTCCAGGGCAGACTGGTTCTTTGAAGGCAGCCCACATGCCAGTCTGGCTACTTGAGAATTCCCTCGAAGAGTTTTAAAATGCAAATCTGCTAGCTTCAGCCCAGAGAGGGTGATTCTGAGGGCCAGGCGCCCCCGGGCCTGCACCGGCCCCAAGGCCTTGTTGAGCTGGGCACCAAGGTGAACACAGGAGGACCAAGTCCAGAACCTGCTTCCCTTGTGTCCTTGGCAGGTTGTCAGCCGGGATCTAACCACCCCCCCCCGCCCGCCCCCCCCCGCCCCCCGCCCCGCACACACAGCAGGGATCACCTGCCCCAGCCCTTTTTTGTATGAGTACAAAATCCGGGGCCCGAGAGGGGAAGGGACTTTTCCAAGGTCACAGCGTCCCTTCTTCACCAGCATCCCTCCCCTCCCTCTACTCCTACAGTCCCGCCCTGGTGGCAGGGCTCCATCCAGAGCAACAGTCTGGGGCAGGGGTAGGGCCAGGAGTGAATGGTGCTCCCAAGTCTCCAAGAAGCAAAAGGAGGCCACTTACCACATCAATGCACACCATGGTGGCTGGCTTCATTTTGGAGGAGATGGGAATGGAGACAAGGTGGCCCAGGGTGATGAAGCCCCAGAAGAGGCTGGGGACGTAACCAGCCAGCTTGTGTCCTACAGACAGCGGCTTCTCCACTGCATAGCTGTACACAAAGGTGGAATATACCCCCTGTGGAGAGACAGGCCCCGCTGAGCACACCCACAGCACAGCCAGACCGTATCCTGGGAAAGGAAGCCCTGGCCAGGCAGGTGTGGGGAGGCCTGCGCCTGCTCCTAGAGGTTCCTCAAAGGGTGGGCGTGGGGCTGAGGTCATCCAGCACACATGGGCCGGAGCTGAGAACAATGCCAGGGGCCACAGCTCCCGGACTGCACCTGGGGAGGACCCCGGGTTCCAGGGAGGCCTCTCTCCACAGGGCGCCGAGGGGCCTGGGCATGAAAGCTCTGTAGCCCCTTCGCCAGAGCAGGGTTCTGCTAATTACCTTATTGACCAGGATGCCACAGGAAGGTTTTTGTTGAAGGAAAGGTGTTTTGCTGCAGCAAAAAAAGCCAAAAACAAAAACAACCCCCCCCCCAAAAAAACAAACAAAAAAAGGTGTGCGCAAGCATCTCATTTTACAGCTGAGAGGGCAGAGAGAAGTGACTTGCCCAAGGTCACAATGAGAGTTGGAAGTCAACCAGTACTGTCACGTGTCCTTGCCACCAGGTCACCTAGTTTGTAGAGCCTTCTCTTTGGAGAGTCCCTCCTATGGCAATCAGTTAATCAGCCATTCAAAACTGTTCTAATCTAATCCTTAGAGATTTCTGGGAAAAGGCATTAAATAGTGTAACAGAGGTCACTAGCGGACTGAAAAGCTGGGCCTGTAGCTTGTTTTTACGGCATGGCTTCAGAAGCCCGTGTGCGGAATGTTCCGGGAAGCAGTGTCCTAGAGTTTATTTGGCATGACCTCTACTTGGCAGAACAGGGCTCTGCCCCTGTAAAACACGTGGGTAGACTGCATTCAGTAACAAAACCTACAGGCCTCCTATCCACGGAGTTAATGAAAATGTAAGCAATTGGCTGGGACGCAAGGCCACAGTACCAAGGGTCCGTGAACAATTCTGGAAACGGTCTCCCCCAGGACTTTTATTTCGTTTAAATGTTTGGATTGACTGCACTACAGGTGAGGTCTCTAGGAAAACTTGGTGTCCCGCTCTCTCTTGCCATCTCCAGATTCGAGTCTGGGGGGAGGGCGCCCCAGGAAGGCACAGCCCGAGAGCAGGCTCACCGTGATCCCATCAGTCATGAACAGCACCAGGGCAGCCGTGATGTGGATGGCGAAGAAGGAGTACGGGGCTCCTCTGAAGCTCTTCCTCTGGCAGCAGCTGAACAGGTCCTCGTGTTCTGGATGAGACACAAGAAGACCTGGGGTGAGCCTTAGCTTCTGCTCCCCGGCCTCTGCATGCGCAAGGGCAGCTGCTGGCAGAACAGAGAGCCGCTCCGTGCCTCCTGCCTTCTCTACCTTCAGCCAACCATCTGTTTGGAACAGCGCCTGTCCATATCGCAGCCCTGGCGGACACAGGGCTCAGAGAGGTCACGTAACTTGCCCAAGATCACACATGCAGGGCAGGCGGAATGGAGATTAGAGCAGCAAGTCTGCCTTGCTCATTCCCTTGGCCAAGCTGCTCTCCACCTCCTGCCTCACCAGACCACTGGTGCCAAGGTTGTTTTCCAACCATTATCACTGTGATCTACGGTCGCCCTCTGGGGGAGCGGTCACCCGAGTAGCCTCGGTGTGGAGCTGTGAGCACGGAAGTTCATTAGAGCCCCCACCTGGGTGTGGCTGAATCTTCGGGGGCATCGAGGAAGCTTCTTCCTTCTCAGGAGGCTGTGTCTCCAGGGCGAGCTCATCTGCAGACAGGAGCAGCGGCCTCCTCTGAGGGCAGCAGGTCAGCAGCCGCTCTTTGGACAGCAGATACAGCACAGCCATGGGCACCGGGAGCTGGGGGTAGGCAGAGCGTCAGGAGAGCCCTGTTCCTGGCAGCTCCCCCACCCCATGCCTGGCCCACTGCATACACCTACACGGTCGTGGGGCACATGTCCGCACGGCCCTGGGAGAAGACAGCTCTTTCCCAAGGGTGCCCACCTAAGCGGCGTCCCCAACTACTGCAGTCTTGGCCCAGGGCAGGCTTGGTGTACCTGCTGCCTAACCTTAACGACATCTGTTTCCCTGCAAAGTCAGGTACTGGTCACATGCAAAACTGAGACTCACACCAGGCCTCTGCTGGCACAGGAGGTGCCAGAGACCAACTCTTTTCCAAAGAAGCTTTGCTTTCATTCACCACAGCTCTGTAAAGTGTGTTGGGGGAGCTTTTAGTTCCATTTTCCAGATGGGGCAAGTGAGGCTCAAAGTTACCACTTAGTCAGAACCTGTTAAACTGGAAAAGACCTGAGTGGTGAGCTAGAGACCCAGAGAGCTCTAGTGCTGGTAGCACAGCTGACTTGGGGCAGAGTGGGACTGTCACTTGGGCATCCTGAGTCTGCCCAGTGCCCTTTCCACCTCAGGGGTTGTCTGGGTGACGGTGCACCCTACGAGGGTAGAGGCAGTCCTCGTGGGCTTGGGGCTGGCATCTAAATGGGAGAACGGAGGCGTGGACTCCTTCTGGTTAAAAAACTGCATGCTACAAGCAACACATACGCACACACGCCCAACGTTAAATTCACTGCTATTTTTTATGTTAAGCCACTTAGGTTTTATGAACTCCCCAGAGCTCTGGGGCAGCGATTTTTAATCTTTTTCATCTTATGGCACACATAAAATTCTGCAGCACACCAAAAACAAAACAAAACAAAAAAATTATGTTGTTTGCTGATCTGACAAAAATATAGGTGTAATTTAAAGATTTTTATTTATTTTTAAAGAGAGGGGAAGGGAGGGAGGGAGGGGAAAGGGAGAAAAACGTTGATCAGTTGCCTCTCAAACGTGCCCTGAACAGGGAGGGACCAAGCCCACAACCCAGGCATGTGCCCTGACAGGAAATCGAAACAGTGACCTTTTGCTTCATGGGATGATGCCCAACCAACTGAGCCACACTGGCCAGGACTGTTGTCATTTTTTAAACTTGACAATCTAAGGGAAAAGGGGTCAGCGAGCCTGACTAGTCAGGTGCTGCCTGTTTTAAATTTTTTTGTGGCACACCTATGTGCCTCCTGTGCCACATCGGTTGAAAATCGCTGCCCCAGAGCAATGAGAAATGCCTCCTACTTCAGAGGCTGCCCGCAGAAGCCTCTGCCACCTCTCTGGAGTGCCCTGCCTGTGCCCAACCACCCTCGCTGCCAGGGGACCTCGTCCAGCCTAGCCTCTGCCTCGCTGCTGCAGCCCTATCCACTTCCTCCTGCTCAGGAAAGGGAGGAAGCTCGGCGGGCTGTGGCAGTTTTCTGGGGGCCCATGGGCTCCTCTGGGATGAAGGAGGGCAGAGGTGGAAGTCTGCCTGGAGCTGCGCGGAGGGAGGCTTCCCTAGCCTGGAGCTGGGCTGGCTCCCGAGCCTTTTCCAAGTCACCTGAACACCACCCTTGTGCTGACACCTCCCTCTGGGCCCCTCGGGAGCCTCCATCCACACACAAAAATAAGGTAAAGTCGGACTCTGCCCGGCCTGAGTGGAAGGGACACAGTTCCCACCCTCAGGAGTCCCAGGTCCAAAGGAGGAGACGAAGCTCTCCTTCCAGCCTGATGGGGGAAACAGGAAACCCATGCGCCGGGGCCTGTGGTGGCAGAATGCCTGGGTGAAGGCCAAGGGGAAACAGCTGTAAAAGGGGCCAGGTCCCTCAGGCAGGGCCTTCCAGGGAGGTGGGTGGTGGGAGGAACTGCACACCTGGCCCTGCCGCAGGGCACATCTCTCTGTAGGAGAAGCCCATTCAGGGAAGGCGGGCTGCAGCTCAAAAGTCGGACAGTGCCAGGTGGGCTGTGCCTGTGTGTGTGTGTGTGTGTGTGTGTGTGCGCGCGCGCGCGTGCGCGCGGGCACGCGTGCATGCACATATTTGTGCACACGTGCCCACATGATTGCATAGCCTCATTCTTTTCTGTGGTGACTGTTTATCTCCAGACACAAACCAATGGAAAAAGTACGGAAATCCTGCATCAAACAAAGTGCCTCCAGTCTGCACTTCGTGGGCAAGAGAAGACAGACCTCGGGCTTATGCTGGACCTGCCAGCTTCCCGGTCCCACAGTCCCAGTCTTGACATTGTACTGACAGTGCTCCTTCCCTTTGCGGTTCCCCTTGGAGAGCACAGGCCCAAAGCCACATTGTTCCCAGACAATAATGGGCAGGGCAGAAAAGGGAAGGGGCAGAGGGAGAGGGGGGCATCTCTGAGCCCCCAGGGAAGACTCTGCTATAAGGAATAGAGAGTCCCAAAGGAGAAGAAAGAAAAATGAGGAGGGACTGCTGGGCAGCAGGTAGGAGGTTGTGTTGGGAGTTGGGGTTCCAGCCTGGCCTGGCCTCACACCAGCCCCTATTAGGGCTTTGAGCCAGACGGTATGACACCCTGTTGCTCAGTGGGACTGGGTGGTCTCAAGAACCCCTTTCAGTGCCACATACACAGCATCACTCTGAGTCCCAGCAGCAGCTGGGGGCTGCGGTCTCGCCTGCACCAGCAGCCTTCCTCTGCAGGGCGGACAGGTCTGCTTAGTGCAGGAGAAGTTCTAGGGCAGAGTGACAAGCCACATGGTGACTCCGTGCCCAGCCAGCAGGCCAGTGGCCACCTGAAACACTCCCTACCCCTAGCCCCTGCTGGGCCCAAGTCAGGGGGCCACGGCTGCTCCTGGTGTTCCTTGCAGTCCCTCCCGAGCACAGGCAGGGGTTGCGGGGGGTCTCCCCACTGCTCCTCCGGGCCCCAGCCTAGGCTCACGTGGGAGAGCCCGCCCTGGGCTGCAGAACGCAGAGAAGTTTTCCAGCCAGAGGGCAGGGTCAGAGCTGACAGTCCAGGGGGGCCTCAGCATCTGACCCAGTCACAGGGAGTCGGTAGGGTCCCACCGAGGCAGCTGAGACAGGTGGGGTCCCTGGGAGGTTATCCTGTCTCTCTCTCCCTCTCTCAGCAGCCACAGGAGCCGCCCTCACAGCAGGGCACAGACAAGTCCCACCAGCCTTGAGGACCCTGTCCGACCCTGCAGTGCTCTGGCCCAGGGTTAGCGTCACCTGACCTCCGAGGAAAGGGCTGGGTTTCCCACAGAGCCTCGGACGCCTTGAAAGTTGGCCCTGGTTTCATTGTGCTAAACCTGTTCACTGCTTTCTCTCCCTTGAGAATTGCAATCACAGGATGTCACAACTGAAGGACCTTAGAGGTGCTCTTTTGTAACCCTCTTTGTGTTCCGATAAATCCTGCGGGGTCGGCTCTCCCATCCTCTTGTCCTCCGGTGGGTGCGCTCAGCCCCAGCTCGTGTCTTAGAAGAATCTTCCCCTGAAGCTCGAATGGACTGGTACATGTGACTGTCTACTAGTCCCCACCCAGCCCAGCCCCAGTGGCACTCACGTTGATCAGGGCCATAATCCAGAAGGCGTAGGACACTCGGGTTCCTGCTCCATCTGGCGGGAACAGCTCGGGGAGTGTCTGGTTCGACGAAGGCCGGTGGCCCAGGACCCTGGAGGCACGGAAGAGGTGGCTGCTGGAAGTGGCGTTGGCTGTGCTATTCGCAGGCCAGCAGTTGTCCTCCGAAAGGAAGGGGTCGGCGATAAGAGGGCTTAGCAGGGCCCCAAAACCCACAAAAAAATGAAGAACCTGGGGAGGGAGGAGAAGTAGGATGGGGATGACGGTGCAAGCTTTGTAGCCCATCCCCCACCTCGTGTCCCACCTGTGGAGCCCCTGCCCAGCTCAGGTGGGAGCGAGGGAGCGGGAGGCGAGAGCGGGGAGGAACGAGCTCCTCGGCCACCTGCGTGTCCCGGGATAACTTGCTGACGGTGGCCAATCCCCTCTCTTACTCTCCTTCCTTTCCCAAATCCTCGCCCCCAGTGGGAGGTTGTTCCCGTGTGGGCATCCACCAAAGGGAAGGGGGCTTAATAAAGGGAAGGGCTGGTCTAGAGTCCTGGTAAGTGGGAGGACAAGGAAGGAAGAAGAAACACAGAGAGACACAGGGAAGGGGACAAGAAGACAACAGCAAACCCTGTCATGCCACTTCCCAGCTGACAAAAACCTTCTGGTTGGCACTTAGATTCTTGTGACCACCTGCAGGCAGGGGTCATTACCAAGTGCAGGGGTACGGGCCGAGCTGGTCACACTGAACTCAGACCCTGGCGCTCTTTCTGCATCACCACCCTGGCCTCGGGGGAAAAGTCACTGGGGAGAGGGGGCTGGGAGAGAGGGACAGATGGACAGGGCCCCCCCCCTGACACCCACTGTGGGCTCACCTGGAGGAAGATGGCCGAGTCCTTCTGGTAGATCCTCACCAGCTGCATGTTGGCCACGGTGTCAATGCAGCCCATGGCCAGGCCCGCCAGCGCCATGACGGAGGCCAGCACCTTCACATCACGGCAGAAGGGGATGACAGCGAACACCAGGGAGATGGTCAGAGAAGAGGTGAAGAGGGCCCACAGGGACTGGGCCAGGCTGCGGTCACAGAGGGCTGAGGTCAGGGAGGGGGCGCAGAGCCCCTCCTGTCCCCCAGGTGCTGCGTGGCCCCGGGGGGCCATCCCCCACCCTCTGGTGGAAGGGGAAGGAAGCGGAGGAAGAAGCTCTGTCTCTTACTGGCTGTGGGTTGCAGGCAAGATGTTTAATGAGCCTAAGTCTCAGAGAACAGTCCCCCTCACAGGCTGGTGGTGAGGACTCCAGAGAGTGTATGACAGGGACACAATGGTCCTTAACAAGGTGTGACAGCTACTATTGTACTTATGAGCAATTTTATATTGTCTACCTATAAACGATGAGAGGGGAATCGGCTTCTAATATTTCCAGGGAACTGTGCCGCATGCATGAAACTGGAGGTGCGATAGGAAATGGAACCTGAACCCCAAACCCCTGAGCCGGGCCACAGTGTGCGCTCTCCACTCAGGAGTGGAGAACGGCCGGCCCCCTGCCGGCAGCAGGCCCCAGCTGCCGGGACCAGGCCCACGCGAGGCATCGGAGGAGCCTGGCGACCCCTGTACGGGCAGAGGTGATGGGCCCTGCGCCTGGCACGTGTCTGGATGGGCGGCTCTGTGGCCCTCCCCACCGAGCAGCGTCCCCCCCGCCCCTCCCCCTGCGAGCCCGCTGCAGGGGCTGGGGGCCTGTCCTCCGCGAGTGAGGGAATGGATGTGTGACCCAACGAATGGAGTGGCTAAGGTTCTGTTAAGGTCTTTCTGGTGCACTCCGCCCAATAAACACTCTCAGAGAAAGGAAGGAAGCCTTGAATTTTCTGGGACCAGTCTGAATGGCTAATGTGGAAGGGGTGGGGGAGATTGGGCAGCAAGAAGGTTCTGGAAGGAAGAAGTTGTGGAGAATCTTTAATTTTAGACAAGTCGGGGAGCCCCAGGCAGCCTCTGTGGCTGCTGAATCTGCAGAGGTGTGGGATGCGTGGCAGGGAGATGTGTCTGACTCTCCAGCACCCTGGAGAGGAGAGAGGTGCCCCCAGAAACCTGGCAAACTGTCTTTTCCAGGACGTTCTTGCCTCTGAACCCTTGGCGCTCAGCTTCTCATCTTGCCCATCTTTGATTAGATCCTTAATCAGAGGGCTCTGCTGATAGCAACGGTCCGTTATTTTCTTTTCTTGTTTCCAGCTGATCTGCTGGCAAGATTACTGATCACAACCCCTGCCTGTTCCCAGCTGTGTGAGGGCAGAGGGAGGGCTCGCTCCACCCTGGTCACCGTGGAAAAAGCAGGGAGGTCATGTTGTGGGGAGGCCTGCCGCCCCCTCCCCTCGGCCGCCTGCTCTGTGGCCCCAGCAATGACAGCCTGGGCCGCTCACCGACTTCTGCTTCCTGCAGCCTGGTGACTGCATCTCACTGGCCTCCATGGTGCCAACAACAGAGGTGATGCCCACACTTCTACAGGCCCTAAAAGCGACAGCTCTTGCATAACGGCGTTCTCTTTCCCCTTCCTTTCCCAACACAGGTAGACTAGGAGCCCCCTGGGTGGCCCGACTTCAGGAATACCGAGGTTCCCCTTTCTCCCTCTCAAATGTCCCCTGCGTTGACCCAGTATCCATGGGGGTGACATTTCCACCACCACTTACCACTTTGTGGTCAAGCACAGATGCCCCGAGTACAAATACTTTTGAAGAATTAACACATTATTATAGTGCGCTGAAAAACCTGAGCAAGATGACTAGTAATCAGTCCCATAGCAAAGTCCTGAGGGAACGGGGAGATGGGAAGGAGCTGTGGGGAGGTGCGGGAAAGGGAAGTTAGTCTATGGGACAACACTAACGTTTGTTTACAGTGCCCAAGACATTTGTGCGCATGGCAATGCTGAGGTAGGGTTTGCAACTGTTGACCCACAAATAAACTGAGGCTGAGAAAGGCCAAGAAAGCAGCTGACAGAGCCTGGAATTGAACCCAGGTCGTCTATGCCATGCTGCTTTTCCATGGGCGGGGCGGGGTGCGTGTAAAAAAGCCGGTGCTGGGTCTCAGTCCCAGCCAGGCTGGAGGGGGCGGCCGGCAGCGAGCATGTGGCCAGACTGTGCAGAGCCTTGTCTCAGGAAGCAATGGCGAACAGCTATAGTCTCTAGAACATGAGCCTCCAGTGGTCCCTTTGTTGGTGTTATGGGATCTCCAGGTACTTTATATTATAAGTGCTGGCTTCATCGCAGGCCTCCGAGGCATCTGCTGCAGCCTGTTCATTGCGGGGCCCCATGCCTGGCACTGTGCTCGGCCCTGAGAAGGGACCGGATGTTGCTAGTGAAAAGAGACTAGTGCTTGAGGAAGGCATGTCTTGTCACCGCACACAGGGTGGCCTGGAGAAAGGGATGGGAGACTGTTAGGAGGCTGACGTGGGATTGTATGGGGGTGACAGAGAGACAGAGACAGAGACCCCAGGAAGATGCTGAGAGAACAGCAGGAGGCTCGGGAAAGGGGGAAGGTTCGGAGAAGGGCTGGAGTCCAGGGGGTTGCCCTGTCCAGGCCTCTCCTCTCTCCCATCTGTGCCTTCTCACTTCTCACCTTGTCACTCTTGAGAAGGACACTTGATGCCCACAGGCAGCTTTCTTGTTCCCATGCCCAGGGACAGGCAGGAGGGAAGCATAAAGAGAGAACCGGCAGAAAGGCGAGGCTGGGGAGACGTGCCCTCCCCACATCTCCTGCCAGCCGCTGGGTAGTGGTGCGAACCCGCTGCCCACCAGCTGGGGCCAGGGAGGCCCAGGCTACACCGGGAAATGGAGACCCGTTCCCAGGAAGTGGGGCAGCTACACCTCAGGAAACTGTGTTTGGATCTGGGCTGCCCGCCCTCCCCAGTTACTTCTGCAGGGTTCTCCCTGGTCATTGCAAAAATCAGCCTGAACAGGTTTCTTCAGAACAGTATATTGTTGCCAAGAAAAAGGGAGTCTCACATATAACCTAGTGGCACACTGAAATACACTAACTGGCTTGGTCACATAACGGTTTGGTCAACAGCCCCTTCCAGTAAAGCCAATAATCGAAAATTATGAAATAAGAATGGCAGAATAGCCCTGGCAGTGCGGATGTGGTGCCATTTGTAATCCGAAGACTGGGCTGGCCCACCTCTGCCACTTCCCAGCAGGTGGCTTCGGGCAGGCCATGGACACGTAGCCCATTGAGCCTCAGTCCCTTCCTCCATAAAATGGGGCTGGTAGGCTGCGCCTTGTGACACCGCTGTGCAGGGGCAGCGTGATATTCCAGCCAGTCCGCCTTCGCTCACTCACTGGGATCTTCCCCTGCCACCTGCAGGCCTCCGCCCCAAAGCTCTCCACTCCCTGCTGGCTCCAGAGAGCATGGCCAGGCCCAGGGGAGCGCGCCCCATAGGAGCGGTGCAGAGGCTGGTGCCAGCTCCGGGGTTCTCCCCGCCGCCCAGGCTCTGCCACTGTTCCTGCTGCAGCTCTCTCCAGGGTGACTTCGGAGGCTGGCCTAGGAACAGCTAGAGTGACAACAGAACAGAAGAGTCCTACCCCTCATGTTACAGATCAGGAACTGGGCCCAGACAGGGAAGGAGGGCAGAGTAAGGCTGAGCTGGGATCCAGTTTCTTGACTCCCAATCCAGGCAAAAGCCAGTGTAGTGTCATTGATCTGCCCTCCCTTGGTCCTAGGTTCAGAGGTTAATTCAGGTCAATTATAGGAAAAGCCCCACTCCCAGGAACACCCTCGACAGTCCAGGGAACCCTTCCTTAGGAAGCCTGAGAAATGTCCAAGTTCCTCACTGCCAGCTCTACATGGAAGGTGCCAAAGGGGAGGGAGGGCAGAGAGCCAGGTCCCCCCCCCCCCCTGCCTGGTGGTGGCTCTGCTTGGAGGTGCCAGCCCCGCCAGTTTGCTGTGTGACTTTGCACACCGCTGACCCTGTCAGCCAGGTGCTCGGCCTTACCCAGAGGGCGCACATGGTCACCTTGACTCGGCTTTGCTGTGGGCAACTGCTCTGGCCCAGAAGACAAGGGGCTGCCTGGCTTCAAAACAGGGGAAGGGTTCAAATAGTAAGGCGTCAGCCGGCCTGTGCTGCCTGCCGCTCCCCAGGGGTAGGGAACTTGCTGCGGAGGCCCAGGCCCTTGTTGCCACAGACCGAATGACCCCAGGCTGGACGAGTGAGCCCAGGAGGGGCACTGCCATTCTGCTCCCACTTTTGACCCAGGGGATCGCCCTGTTGCCCTGGATGATCTCTGGCCCGCAAAGCCCAGAGGTGAGGGCAGAGCACAGAACCGAGGAGGAGTCAGAGGCATCCGCACACCTACCCACCCACCACGGGCAGGCAGCCCTGCGAGAGGACGAGAAACCAGAGCCAAGGCACCACCTGGGAGCTAGGGCAGGCTGGGGACTGCGGCTGAAGCCAGGGGATAGGGAAACGGCGACTTAGACTGAGGAAGGGGCCATGGCAGAAGCAGCCCCTCCCGCTGGGCCAACCCAGAACTGCCACCACGGCTTGTTCAGGGCTCTGAGTTATGGCTGGGGCCACCCAGACGGAGGAACAGCCAAGCCTGTCTTGGGGAGCCCCAACCTAAGGCGCGGCTGCCTGCAGACTCAGGGGCTAGTGGCACCGTGCGCCTGAGAACGAGCCCTGGCCCGGGGGCGGGGGGCTGGGCTCCCAGGAGTGCCCCTTACACGCTGGCTGCACTTGTAGTTCTGTCGGCCTACACCGCCTCTCCCCCAGTTCTCCGCATGCGTGGCTCCCTCCTGTCGTTCAGGTGCCAGCTCAAATGTCGCCTCCTCGGAGAGGCTTTCCTGACCACCTCAGTTACTCTCCCCCAGCTCTGCTACTCTCCACCCTGGCCCGGCTTCGCCTCCTTCAGTTCGCTGTAACGGTCCTCCAGGAGGCCAGCTCCAGGGCACAGGCGCCCTGTCTGCCGTGCTCAGCCCCCGCGCGGGGGTCTGGCTCAGGAGATGTTTGTGGATGAGTGAATTATAGGGCTGGGGGTGGGATGAGTTTTGAGATTTTTTTAATAAAAGAATTGAGATGTAATTTACATACCATAACAT